ATATTAGCAGGAACTCTTGGGAGGCCAGAACAAACAACCTGCGTATGGTGAGTGATTGTTTCTCCATATTATTTCCTAAAATAAACATGTTGTTGTCTATCTAGAATTACAGTGCTGAAAGGGAACTCATGAATGGTATAGGTGAGGAGACCGCAGACTGGCTCAATTGAGTGACTGGTCCCAGAGTCCAGCCAAGTCTATTAAGTAACAGGAAAGCATCAGATTTTTCAAGACTGAATTGTAGTTCCCATTATAAACACTAAATGCCAAAAATGCCAATATCCCCTGTTCATTTCAAAACAGCACTTTCAAAATAGGTTTCCACAGCCCTGACAGTGAGAATAACCTAAGTTTTACTTCTATCTACTGAACATCTTAAAAACAATTTATTATAAACAAAGCCTTTTTTTCCCCCCTAGGATTGTCGGAAGAAACATAAAGATGCAAAAAGGAAAATGAAACCAAAATAATAAATGTCAGTTGGTTTTGATACTGAATGTGAACAAGGCTCACCTAAGGAAACTGACCCAGAAAATAGTTTTAGCTGACAAAGAAGAAATTTCAGAGTGAAGGAATTTTAAAAATCTGGCTGATGGAATATCATTCTGCTTGCCATCTTTTTCCATGGAACTCCTCTGCATTTCTTCCTAGTTACTTCAAAAAATTAAATTCCACTTCTTAAAAAAGGAAGCACAAGATGGTCCTTGAAAATACTTTTTGTATATAATCTCTGCCCTCTATCCTGAGTAACTAATGGACATCTTCTCATGCAAGGTTTACATGAAGCCTTTTTAAATAAATGGGTCAAAGTACTTGTATTTTCCAGCCTAGGCTTTGTGTGAATTATAGGCTATTTGAAATGTTTATTTCTGATTATGTCAAATACACCTTCCATTTTGTCATTTTTGTTTAAGCTGATGAATTACAAGTCAACATTGAGTTTTATACTTGTGTTTTGGTGAATAGCTAACTGAAATATAGGACATTTCAAACCAACATCATATAAGAGTTCTGTGAGGACCAGGAGAGGAAGCCAAATACAGAGTTATCTTGTCATTGGCCTCTAGGAATTAGGGAACAACATCTAGATGCAGACGAATCCCAAAATTCTAATTAAACCAAAAGCTTATGAAAAATACCAAGTGTCTGAAAGATAGGTAGTCACAGTTAGGAGTCAGGACCCTGAGCCCAAATAGGGAAACAGATTTAATATTACATTAAATAAACCAACCTGCCTAGATTTCAAGACATGCCTCCTATCAAAGTGGGCTCTGTGTGAAATAGTATTATATAGGCCCAGCACAGTGGCACAAACCTCTAATCTTAGTACTTTGGGAAACCGAGGTGGGCAGCTCACCTGAGGTCAGGAGTTCAAGACCGGCCTGGCCAACATGGCGAAACCTCATCTCTGCTAAAAATACAAAAATTAGCTGAGTGTGGTGGCTCACACCTGTAATGCCAGCTACTCAGGAGGCTGAGACAGGAGATCACTTGAACCCAGGAGGCAGAGGTTGCAGTGCCGAGATCACGCCACTACACACCAGCCTGGGTGACGGCGTGAGACTCTATCTAAAGAAAAAAAAAATAGTATTACATAGACAGTTCCAAGGGCCTATCATTGAGCCATGATGTGTGTACCTAAAATTAGTATTTATTGATTTACCTATGCTGAATATAAACTCTTAACTGTTGGGATTTCATCTGGTGTGTTAACCATTATGTCCCCAGTGCTTATGCTCAGTATGTGTTTTTAATAAGGGTCCAAGGAACTAAGTAACTTGAAGAGTCATTCTGGATTCCTAGGTTTCCAAAACTTCAGACTTCAAGGAGAGTGGGGACAACTACACAGCAGGATAAATAATTCACACATTCTACCTTCTCTTGATGTAGATCACAGTTATACCTTATTTTCTACTGCTGCATAGGAAATCATCTCAGTAACAATCATTTACTCACAAATACTGCAATTTGGTCAAAACTCACTACGGACTGCTGATCTGTGCTCTGTGTGCTTTCATTGGGGTGGTTCAGCCAGGGCTACAGGATCTGCTTCTAATATGGCCCACTCAGTCCCTGTTCATGGGCTTCCTTACAGCATGGCAACAAAGCTCTAGGAGCAAGTATTCTCAGAGGCAGGAAGCAGATGCTGCCAGTCCCTTAAGGCCTGGCTCAAAAACTGGCTCAGAGTCACCTCATTGATTCTATAGGTTTAAACTGACACACACGCCCAACCAGACTGAAAGGGAGGGGACACAGATCCTCACTTCTCAGTGGGAGGAGTGTCAGAATGTGTGGCCATAATTTAAATCCGGCACATGCTTCACAAGCAGACAAGTAACATCAACTAGCCTTTCCCACCCCCAGTTCCTGCTCCCCAGATAAAATCACTTTCAGCAATTTAATTTCTCTAGTATTTATCTCCATGTTTCTACCTAACATGCTTATGCTCTGACTTCTTGATTTTTCACTACCAGACACGACATATTCTGAAGACGTGAAAAAATTATTCACCTCTTCAGTCCAAGTAATATATTTTGACTACAGTTAACTTTTTGGCTGGAATTTTTTCATTTGCTTAACTTTTTCTAGATTTAGTCTTCCCATACCTTCCAACTGTGGGACATGATGAGGTTTCTCTTCAAATAGCCTGATCAATCCTTTATTCTTTAATTCATAGTACCTCCCTCCTCCCTTTTTCCTTCCTTTCTGCCTTTGTTACATGCCCAGACAGGCCACAGTGCCAGGTGTTATCAGTACCAGCTCACATTGCTTTCCTTATCTGGAGAGACCAGCTCTCTAGCTCACTACACACCCCTTCCCCCTTTCCTCTGTCTCTTACGTGCCCACCTTATCTAAAGAAAGTTAAAATGTTTAACTAAGCAGGGTTAGTTTAGATTGTGAGGCCCAACTCCAGCCAATGGAGAAAAGGTACAGGGGCAGGGTTTGCGTCAGGGAGAAAGGCTCTGGTGCCCCTTTGTTCTGGTGTGCTCTCATGGTGACTGGCCAAGAAGCAGCACCCCTCTGCACAGAAGTAAATTGCTTCGCTGAAAATCCTTTTTGAATGTTCAATTTCCTTAGGATTTTGAGCATTATTTCCAACACAATAGTACTATTAATATACATGTTTCTCAATCAAATTTTTTAAATAATTAGACTTGGCCTACCTCACATTTGTCCAGGAGCCCTCTGTCTGGCTCTAATCTGGGCTCCCTGGATAGGTGACAAAATTGAACCAAACAAGGTGGCAGGAATGTGAAAACTTCAAACACATTCCAAATACTTTCAGTTAATTAACAAGATTTGCAGCTACTAAATTATGTACGTTATGTGAGTATAGTCATGGAACATTGAGTTACCCGTGATGGAGGACATGAAACCACTTTAATCCTTCACACAGGGCCAAGATGGTAAGTAAAGTGGAATATATGCTAAACAGACTATCAAAATGTTCCTAAACTTAATAAGATACTGCATTCTGCCTATTCTAGGCCAGATCAATTTTTCATATCCCTCTATTGGATACAATAAGCAGTAATTGAACTACTATATTGATTGGCAAGATCCAGAATTTCCTTTAGAGGCTCTGGGGCCAAAGCCCGAGGCCTACTGCCCTTTGCAAGGCTCCAGATTTTAACCAGCAGATCAGCAAGGTACCAAGCAGACTCATAGCAATGAAAATAAGTATGCAGGCCGGGTGCAGTGGCTCATGCCTGTAATCCCAACACTTAGGGAGGCTGAGGCAGACAGATCGCTTGAGCCCACAAGTTTGAGAGCAGCCTAGGCAACACAGCAAGACCCCGCTGCTAAAGAAAATAAAAAAATTAGCCGGGCGTGGTGGCGCTAGCCTGTAGTCCCAGCTACTTGGCCAGGGATGAGATGCGAGGATCATCTGACCCGGGGAGGTCGAGGCTGCAGTGAGCCATGACCGTCCCACTGCACTCCGCCTGGGCGACAGAATGAGACTGCTTCTTAAAAAAATTGTTTCTGCAATGTTTTCATTACCGGAAACATTTTAAGTAAAATACAATAAAACTTTTAAACCTGGTTGTCAGGCCCTTCTTTCCCTTTTGTTATTATCGTTTCACGTAGCCATTTATGATAGGAGAAGCGGCTTTGGGGTCAGCGGCTCAGGGCCCAAAAGTACAATTATTAAAGCCATCTCTCCGGAAATTGCTGTTTGTCGATATGAATTTTAGGTACGAAGTGTCCAGTCAGATAAATACAAACGCAAACAAGATGAAGCCCCGACCTCGGCGCCCCTTCCCAGTGGGCCTTCACCTACACAGACGTGTCCACAACCCGAGGGCGACCTCGGTCTACACTACCGGAACGGATACCACCCCGCACGCACAGCGCCGCGCTCAGCGCCGGTTCGTTTTCCAAGCGGAGCAGCAAAGCCAGCAAGCACCAAGGTCGCACTAGACGGACGAGTGGGCGTAATCATGTCCGCCGTGGCCAATCGGCGCCTGGCTTGTTGGCAGGTATCAGGCAGCGCGCACTGATTGGCCGGTGTGAAGCTGGCCGCCTTCCCTGGATCCCGCATTTTCAGCGCGTTGCATCACCTCCACGCGCCGGGTCGCAGCTCGGACGCCGGGAGAATTTCTTCCAGGCTTGCTGGCCTCCGGGGCTGTCCAGGCAGTGGGGGCCCCTCAGGTAGGCTTTTTCTTCCCTGCAGGATCCGGCCCTCAAAGGTGAGGGTCACGCACGTGTTACAGCCCCGAAAGAGTAGCACAAGATTTAATTTTTAAAAGAACGTGTTTCTTCGGGGCTTGCCATTCCTTCGTTTCCAGCCTTAGGAATTTATGGTCACCTTTTTGAATGAGTGGTGTTTGAAATGAGTAAAATCTTTTGAGAATGATATACATAGTATAAATTGGTATAGCTGTGACTTTATGTATAGGCAGTACTTTTTTTATATGTCCTAATTTATTACCTTTAATGGCTGAGTACTTGATGTACCGTAATTTACTTCAGTCACCCTATTTAAATTGTTTTCAGTTATTTGCCTGCAGAAACAATTATTCGGTGAATGTCATTGTATACATATTTTGTACATTTGTGTGAGTATACCTGTGGAGTCTATGTTAATAGGATATAACTAAATTGAAGAAACGTTTGAGACGGTCCCACCTTCAGGTTACATTTGACTTAATAGATTATGAAGACCTGAGAATAAAAGGGGAAGCAGAAATTGATTTAGAGGAGAATGAAAAGGGGGAACAGAAATAGACTTATAGGTAGGATCCACATGACTTGATGATTACTTGGATGTGTGTATTTTCTGAGCAGTGTTGGGGTGACTCAAAACTGTTATGCCTAGGTAATGAGAAGAGTATTGGAAACGCTAATACGGTAGAGTTAAAAAGGGAAACAATTGTGGAAAGAATTATCATGGTTTAGTTATATCCTATTAACATAGACTCCACAGGTATACTCACGCAAATGTACAAAATATGTATACAATGACATTCACCGAATAATTGTTTCCAAAATATATTGGGGCAAAATAATATGAATTAATGTGAATAATATGTAGTGAATATCGAAGAAGGTGGTCTCGAAATTGCTGAACGGGAAGTTGAGGTTAAGATGACCTGAAGGAGTTGTGGAGTGGGAAAGAGTGAAGGGCCTGGATTGTAATAAGAGGGAAGCAAAGGGGATGGCGTCCCTCTGCACAACAAGGTTGTTGTGCAAGGTTAACCTGCCCTGTCCCCTGCCCTGTGGTTGCTGGATGCTGTTGTGCATATACAGCTCTCCAGTGGATTCGATGGGCCATAGCAATCCTGTGATTTATGCATGGAGGCTGCTTCTCCTCGGCAGCCGCCATAGCCCGGTCACTGGTACATGGTTCTTCCTGAATAGGCAATACTGTTATACTGAGTCTTTATGCTTGGCATAATAGTGCAGTGATTCTTAATCTTTGGGGAAAGTAGAGACTCCCTAAAAAAACACAGTAAAAGGTGAGTGAGCTGGCCAGGGCTAGTGGCTCACACCTGTAATGCCAGCCCTTTGGGAGGCCGGCACAAGAGGATCCCAGCCCAGGAGTTGAAGACCAGCTGGGGCAACATGGCAGAACCCTGTCTCTACAAACCACCCCTCTCCAAAAAAGGAAAGAAAAAAAAAAAAAGCTGAGTGTGGTGATGGTGATGCATAACTGTAGTCCTAGCTACTTGGGAGGCTAAGCTGGGAGGATCAACCGAACTCAGGGAGGTCAAGCCTGCAGTGAGCCGTGTTTGTGCCACTGCACTCCAGCCTGGGTGACAGAGTGAGATACTGTCTCAAAAAAAAAACAAAAAAGTAATAGTCCTCTTCTCAGAAAGCTTAAATCTTATTTTCTCAAAAACAAAAAATCAGATAGATATTCCTGAATAATTGTCAGAACAGTGCAAGAGTGGTGGTGTTCAGACTGTGATGTGAATGCTTATTCCCTCAGGATCTTGTTAAAATGCAGGTTCTGACTCCTAGGTGTGAGGTGAGTCTGGTAAGTCTGCATCTCTAATAAGCTCCCATAGATGTGGGCCATAGTAGGACCAGCCTTGAAGAGATTAGAATGTGTTGGTATCTCGAAGTCTGTTAATCTTCAGATAACAATCCCATAAGTCTGAGTTGGCCTCTGATAAGGTACCCAGTGAACCTAAATAAATAGGTAAATGCACAAACACTTACTTTGGTCCTTGAAAGGCTAGAGGTTATAGTAAGAGTTGAAGATCTAAAATGCCTTACAACTTCCATTTAATACCTTTTAATGGTATACTGTGATCAGAAATAGCTATTTCAGTTAGTTAAACAGCCCAACTGTTCTTGTCCCGTTTTTTCTTAAACTTAGAGGCACTCACACATCTGAAAAATTAATGAGGGTAAAAGAAAATGAAAGATACTACTTTCACAGACTTTTTTTTGTGTGTGATAACTTGAATCAATAACTTGCTTAGACTATGATGTTTTGATGCTTTCAAAACTGTTTGAGGTATGTAGTAGTGTGTCTTCCTGTAGAGTTTATTACCCTGGACTGTTGCGGTTCTTGAGTACTTAAGATCTTTTATCTTCTCTGTTTGTTCTCTTATTAGCAATTCTATCCCACTCTAATCTGATATTGACTTGGAAAGCTTGTCACCCACCTTGTTAGAATTGTTAAGTAAATGTAAATAGACTTTGAGAAGGAAAAGTCTCAAGGGTGGCTCACTAGATACTTAAGTCGCAGATTGATCAAGTGTCTCTGCATGAGGTTATTAGCAAAACATTTTAAAAGACACTTTAAGATTTTTCTCACGGGACTAAACCAGAAAGGTATAGGGCTCATCCTTCATAAAAATCATGAATAAGCAGTAAAAAGGGTAAAATAGAAAACTGGAATCTATATTCGAATGTGAGATTCTCATCTTTTTAGCTTTAAGATTTTTAAAGTTTTACCAGTTTTCCTCAAAGAGAATATGAAGTTACTTCAAGAGAACTGATTTCTGTCATGTGAGTGTAGGTAAGAAAATTCTTAGTTACTTTGAGATATTTTTCTTCAGATTATCGATGAGTTTTTTGCACCATCAGATAGAATTGCTGAGATTTTCTTGCTTGCTTTTGGAAACATTGTCTACCATTACTGAATATTAAATAATACTGTGTACCCCTCCCTCACACCATATACAAAGATAACTCAAAATGATTTGTGGCCTAAATGTAAGCGAAAAATCTGTAACCTTGTTTAGGTAATAGTTTATTAGATGACACCAAAAGCTCAAGCAGCAAAACTAAAAATAGACGAATTGGGCATCATTAAAATTAAAATCTTTGTGCTTCAGAAAATGCCATCAAGAAAATAAAAAGATGGCCCACAGAACAGGAGACAACTTTTTATATATCATATATCTGATAAAGGATTTATATCCAGAATATATAAATAACCCTTAAAACCCAACCACAAAAAGAGTCCAGTTAGAAAATTGGCAGAGGATAAATAAGTATGTATCCAAAGTGGATACACAAATGGCCAATAAGCACATGGAAAGACACTCAGCATCCTTAGTCCCTAAGGAAATGCAAATCAAAACCAGGAGATACTACTTAACGTCTCCTAGAATGACTGTAATCCAAAGATGGACAATAAGATGTGCTGGGTAGGATCTGAAGAAATTAGAATCCTCATTCACTGCTGAGGGAATGTAAAATAGTACAGTCACTTTGGAAAACATTTTGGCATTATCTCAAAAAGTTAAATACAGAATTATGTGACCCAGAAATAATTCTTCTAGCTACAAACACAAGAGAAATGAAAACATGGATCCACACAAAATTTTATACATGAATGTTCATAGCAGCGTTATTCACAATTATCAAAAAGTGGAAACAATACAGGTATTCAGGAAATGATGAATGGATAAACAAACTGTGGCATATTCATGAAATGGAATACTATTCAGCTATCAAAAGTAATGAAGTACGAATACATATTACATCATGGATGAGCCTTGAAAACATGCTAGAGAAAGGAAACCAGATGCAATAGGCCACATATAGATGATTCTTACAAATTTTCACATTTATATGAAATGTCCAGAATAGGTAAATCTACAGGGGCAGAAAGAAGATAAATCGTTGCCACTGGCTATGGAGAAGAAAGAGTGGGGAGTGACTACTAATGGTTCTGGGGTGTTTTGGTGGGGAAGGGAGGTTGAAAACGTTTTGAAATTAGATATTACTAGTTATACTACCTTGTAAATGTGCTAAAAAGCCACTGAATTGTACACTTCGTACATTACAGTATGTAAATTGTACATCAGTATACACCCACGTTAGTAATATGGTATTCTGTTATTCCTAGATTTCTCTTTTGACACTAATAAATTTGATTTCTTTTGCAGCAACAAAATGGTTCAGCAAGTTCCAGAAAACATAAATTTTCCTGCGGAAGAAGAGAAAATCTTGGAGTTTTGGACTGAATTTAATTGTTTTCAGGAATGCTTAAAGCAATCAAAACATAAACCAAAGTATGTGAATTTTTTAGGTTAAGAGAAAGTCCTTAAATAGTCATTTTTTAGACTGAATTCCATTAAAGCAGATACTCTCTTTTTTTTTGTTTTGTTTTTGAGATTGAGTCTTGTTCTGTCACCCAGGCTGGAGTGCAGTGGTGCAATCTCTGCTCACTGCTACATCCACCTCCCGGATGCAAGTGATTCTCCTGCCTCAGCTGGGATTACAGGCGCCTGCCACCACGCTGGCTAATTTTTGTATTTTTAGTAGAGACGGGATTTCACCATGTTGCCCAGGCTGGTCTCAGACTTCTGATGTCAAATGATCCACCTGCTTCGGCCTATCAAAGTGCTGGAATTACAAGTGTAACCACCATGTGTGACCTAAAGCAGATACTCTTCATTAATCTTTCTATTCCCAGAATCCCCCAGCTGTCTGTATAATGAGTACTCAGTAGTAGATATACATTGAATGAATGAGTTCTCAGTTATTAGGGTAACTTTGGTTTCTTTAAAAGGTCATCTGAGTAGAATTTATGTCACCCTCTGTGTCACTCTCTTTCCACCCTCATATAGGCACTTATACCTAAGTACCCCATAGAAGGCTACTATAGTAGTCCTCATTCACCTGAAAGAGACTAGTCCTTTAATCACTGTTTTCATTGTGTATCTCCTCTGGTCAAAAACTTTATGAGAGAGGGGTTTATTCCCCTATTTTACTGATGAGATAACTCAAGATCAGGATAAATAACTTGCCTTATGTCATAAAACTAATAAATGAAAAATGAATAATCAAATGGAGGTCTCTGCAGCTTTACTGCAGTTATAGCCTTTCTGAAGGCAGGACCACCAGTAAATATCAAATCAATTATGTCTGTCAATTTCCTGACCTTGCTGCTTTTCTCCTTCCTAAAGACCACTATGACAACAGCTATCTATAGAAAAATGCTTTAAATTTTGATTGTTTTTAAATGACTTAATATATTTTTATTACCTCTTAGATTTACCTTCTATGATGGTCCTCCTTTTGCGACCGGACTGCCTCACTATGGACATATACTTGCGGGTACAATTAAAGATATAGTTACAAGATATGCTCACCAGAGTGGGTTTCATGTTGACAGAAGATTTGGATGGGATTGTCATGGCTTACCTGTGGTATGTTTGAGTATCCAGCTTTATAATTTTCTGATTTTTTAATAAGCATTAGATTTCATGTAATATGTTCAAGTATGATGAATGTTAACTGTCAGACCTTCTACTTCATTTCTATAGTATTTGTAGTTTGATTTGTTTTGTTTTCTAGAGTTGCATAGTTGCAGTTGTTTTCATTGGGCAGAGTGGTAACAATCTTATCACAAATTTTCAGGAGTATGAAATTGATAAGACACTGGGAATCAGAGGACCAGAGGATGTGGCCAAAATGGGGATTACAGAGTATAACAATCAGTGCCGAGCAATTGTGATGAGATATTCTGCTGAGTGGAGGGTATGTTGGGTTATTTTCAGTAGAATGAACAGAAAATGTAGTTATTAAATGGGCATTGAAATGGTTTGTGGTCCCTTGTGCTTTTTTTATTAATTTATTTTTTGTAGAAAAAGTATTAGCTTCCACCTTCAACCCTGTTACTTAAACTGTTAGCTTAGACTGAACCATCTCTTTTCTGACTTCTGTGTGCCTAAATTGGCCTAACTTTCTTGAATGATCACCAATAGGGAAAAATCTGATAAGTATAACGTAGATATATAGGCCTTTTCTTTTTTTCTCAAATACTTTTTTCAATTTTTTAACTTTTCATTTTGAAATAATTTGACTTATTAAACAATTGAAAAAGTAGTATAATGAGTTCACCTATATCCTTCATCCATCTTTCCCAGCTGCTAACATCTTCAGTAACCATAGTATTAATAGAATTTTCAAAAGCAGTTGCCCCATTAATTTTTATTTCTGACCAATCACATATTGCCTTCAGTTGTCGTGTCTTTTTAGTCTTCTTGAGTATGGAACATTTATTTAGTCTTTTGTCTTTCATGGCCTTCTCACTTTTGAAGATTGCGGAGCAGCTATTTTCTAGAATGTCCCTCAGTGTCTGAGGTTTCCCGATTTAGGTTATGCATTTTTGGTGACAATGCCACAGAAGTGATGCTATGCCCTCCTCAGTGCATCGTATCAGGTGGCATGTGTTGTTGTTATGTCTCATTGATGGTGATAACTTTGTTCACTTGGTTAAGGTGCTGTCAACTTTCTGCTTTGTAAAGTTGTAGTTTTTCCTTTGTAATTAATAAGTATATTGTGGGGAGGTTCTTTCCAAATATTCTTTGTCTTGTCATACATTCACTTATTAATTTTAACATCTATGGATGGTTTTTGCCAGTAATAATTATACCTGTGATATTTGCCAAGTGTTGGTTTTGGTAGACTTTTATAAATGAATATTTATACTTGTAAATAACATTTTGTGCATGTAGAATGAATACCAAGAAAACTGGTTCTTAACCTTACATAGTATGTTGTTGGCAATATAGATTTACTTGTACCATTGATTATTCTATTTTCCCAAAATTTTTATATGTGGTGACAATAGAAGTAAACAAATGTTGATGTAAAATTATAAATATCATTGTCTAATACTGTTCTAATATTAATGTTTAAAGTCTACTGTTAGCAGACTTGGCCGATGGATTGACTTTGACAATGACTACAAAACTCTGTATCCACAATTCATGGAATCTGTCTGGTAGGTTTATTTAAAATCATAAATATGATAAATATTCTATAAATATTCTGTTGTATTGATTATTGGAAAAGTGCACTAACATGAATCAGTTTATTTTTGAGTCCATCATTATTTCTCTGAAAATCTTTGGGAACAGGTTTGTTTTTGAATGTAGGACTTTTCTTGTTATTTTTTTGAGACTGAGTCTCACTCAATTACCCAGGCTGGAGGGCAGTGGCGCAGTCTTGGCTCACTGCGACCTCTGCCTCTCAGGTTCAAGCGATTCTGCTGCTTCAGCCTCCTGAGTAGCTGGGATTACAGGCACCCACCACCATGCTTGGCTAATTTTTGTATTTTTAGTAGAGATGGGGTTTCACGTTGTTGGCCAGGCTGGTCTCGAACTTCTGACCTAGGTGATCCACCTTGGCCTCTCGAAGTGCTGGGAATAGAGACGTGAGCCCCTGCGCCCAACCTGCCAATTGCTGCTCTTAGTTAACATTATGTCTTAAACATCATTTGATGTCAGTAGATATTAGCATTTTAATGTCTACCTGATGTCTTACTATATTGATCTGTTATAATTTACCAGCCGGTCTCCCAATGGAAGACATTGTTTTTTCACTTATTTGGCAGACAGAAACTCCAGACAGAAAATGGTGTAAGTGATTGCTTTTTCAGAAATAGAATTTTGGTTATGTAATTGTGAAACTCCATCTCTTACCAGGTGGGTCTTCAAACAACTCTATGATAAAGGCCTTGTTTATAGAGGTGTGAAAGTCATGCCCTTCTCTACGGCATGTAACACTCCACTGTCCAACTTCGAGTCACACCAGAATTACAAGGTACGTGAAATGTAGAGACATTATTCAGCATTAAGTTCTGTAGGTGGAAGTTGAATAGTTATGGTCACAGTAGGTATTCCCAAGTACACCCAATGTGGAATGTTGCCCACGACATCAGTCACTTTGGCCAGTTCTTACTGAGTGCTGAAAACATTGCCAGTTAGTATACTAAGGCTCTGTTAAGATGAGGAATTTTTTTTTTCCACATTGGATTTATGATGTGTCTTAATGTGATAGGTTTTGCTTGTTTTGACCGTATTTTTGTTCCTCTCTGTTGGGTTAACAAGTCCAGCTTTGACATACTTCCCTGTAGTCATCATTTCTTAAAGATTGGGTAATTTTATGCCTTATCTGGGACCTCATGATACCATTTATTTGTTAACAGTATTTGGAAAAAAATTAATTTGAGATGCCAAATGATATTTATCTTTCTTCTGATGAAATAGAATCAGTTGTTGTTGGTATGATTGAGGTGTTGAGACGTGTTTGATGTTTACAGGGTATACTGTTATACCGTATCTAGACAGATACTAAATACTAGTGAGTCTTCTGAAATGTGAACTTTCTCTTCTCATGTGTGTATACTGAGTTGTTTTCCATTTTGAGAGTTTATCTGACCCACTGTTTTTAAAGGATGTTGACTTGTTTGGAATTCTTGTTTCATGGCCTAGGTTTGAAAATTACATTAGTAAAATTTGCCTTTCAAAGCACTTTTTATTTATAGAATGCTTTCACATATCCTGTTTGATCTTTGTACATCCTTGTAAGGCAGGTATGATGATTTGTGTTATCTCCTTACTGCCTCTCTGATTGTGCTCATGTTTGTATTTTTTTAGAAAAATATTTTAAGCACTCAACAGGGTAGAGAATAATGCAGTAAACACAAGGTTTCCAAGGCTTACCTTTGTCAAATCTTAATATATTGCTATATTTGGTTGCTTTTTTTTATTTAGTTTTTTTTTTTGAGACGGAGTCTTGCTCTGTCACCCAGGCTACAGTGCAGTGGCGTGATCTCGGCTCACTGCAAGCTCCACCTATCGGATTCAAGCAGTTCTCTGCCTCAGCCTCCGGAGTAGCTGGGAGTACAGGTGCCCACCACCACGCATTTTTAGTAGAGACAGGGTTTCACCATCTTGGCCAGGCTGGTCTTGAACTCTGACCTTGTGATCCACCCACCTTGGCCTCAAAGTGTTGGGATTACAGGCGTGAGAGACTGTGCCCAGTCTATTTGGTTGCTTTTTAAAAACACTTGAATGTGGGCAGTTTCAGGGACATGTAAAAGTAGACAGAATGGTATAATTAATTTCTGTAGGTCCATTGAGGCCCCCAGCAACCAATGGCTGGCTAATTTTGCCTCATTCATACACATATTCTTTCCCACTTTCCTCCCAATTTTGAAACAAATTCCAGATATCATATTATTTCATCAAGAAATAATCCAATATAGATCTTTCGTAAATAATCTTTATCGTCTTTAAACATTACCATATTAGCATTCATTGTCACACCTTTAAAAGTCATTAGCAATTACCTTTTTGTTGTTGTTGTTGTTGTTTTTGAGATAGAGTCTCACTTTGTCACCCAGGCTAGAGTGCAGTGGCGTGATCTCGGCCAACCATAGCCTTGACCTCCCGGGCTCGAGTGATTTCCCATTTCAGCCCCCTGAGTAGCTGGGACTACAGGAACATACACCATACCTAGCTAATTTACGTGTTTCTATAGAGACGGTTTCGCCATGTTGCATGGGCTGGTCTTGAACTCTTGGGCTCAAGCAGTCCACCTGCCTTGGCCTCCCAAAGTGCTGTAATTGTAAGTGTCAGCCACTGCACCCAGCTACCTTTAATATTTTTAATTTAATATTATTGAATTATTTAATTCCTGAACATCATCAGTTCATATTTCTAATGGTTTAATCATTTCCCAAGGGATTATATTTTATTTTTTGTTTTTTTTCCAATCAGGATCTACCAAGACTTAAACACATGGTGACTGTTGTCTTTTTAGGTTTTGTACACTTTTCCGTTGGTTATATAACAAGTAGTGGAATTATTGAGTCAGAGTATTGTTTGTTTTGATTTTTATTTTTTTTGAGATGGAGTCTTACTCTGATGCCCAGGCTGAAGTACGGTGGTGTCATCTCGGCTCACTGTAACCTCCTCCTAGATTCGAGCAATTCTTCTGCCTCAACCTCCCGAGTAGCTGGGATTATAGGTGCCTGCCAGCACGCCCAGCTAAGTTTTGTAATTTTAGTAGAGACACGGTTTCTCCATCTTGGCCAGGCTGATCTTCAACTCCTTACCTCAGTTGATCCACCTGCCTCGGCCTCCCAAAGTGCTGGTATTACAGGTGTGAGCCACTGTGCCCAGCTGAGTCACAGAGCATACTTATGTTTAGTTCCAATACTGGGGTTGGGAAACTTTCTTCTGCAAATTAAATATTTTAGGCTTTTCAGGCAAAATGTTCTCAATTTTGTCACCATTCTTTGCTTACCCACTGCATGAAAACAAGTGATGAGCCAGATTTGGCCCGAGGGACATAGTTTGCTGACCTCTATTCTTCTTTTTTTTTTTTTGACGGAGTTTCGCTCTGTCGCCCAGGCTGGAGTGCAGTGGCGCGGTGTCGGCTCACTGTAGGCTCCGCCTCCCGGGTTCATGCCATTCTCCTGCCTCAGCCTCCCAAGTAGCTGGGACTACAGGTGCCCACCATCACGCCTGGCTAATTTTTTGTATTTTTAGTAGAGACGGGGTTTCACTGTGTTAGCCAGGATGGTCTCGATCTCTTGACCTCATGATCCACCCACCTTAGCCTCCCAAAGTGCTGGGATTACAGGCGTGAGCCACCGCGCCCGGCCGTTGCTGACCTCTATTCTAAGCGGTCTGTGTATTGGTTGTTAACCAATGGTTTTTAAAATTTTTTTGACTTGGCCAAGCACAGTGGCTCACACCTGAAATCCCCGCACTTTTGGAGGCCAAGTTGGGTGGATTGCTTGAGTCCAGGAGTTCTAGAACGGCCTGGGCAACATGACAAAACCCCATCTTTACTAAAATTACAAAAATTAGCTGTGAGTGGTGGCGTGAACCTTTAGTTCCAACTACTCCAGAGGCTGAAGTAAGAATGATGTGAGCCCAGGAAGTTGAGGCTACAGTGAGCCAAAAGTGTGCTACTTCCCTCCAGCCTGGGTGACAGAGTTAGACTCTGTCTCAAAAAATATATATATATGTATGTATATGTATATATACGTGTGTGTGTATATATATATATATATATGTTTTGGCTTAAAACTTTTATTTATTTTTAGAGATGGGATTTCAGTCTGTCACCCAGGCTGGAATGCAGTGGTGCAAACACAGCTCACTGCAGCCTTGACCTCCTGGGTTCAAATGATCCTCCAGCCTCACCCTCCTGAGTAGCTGGGACCACAGACGTGCATTACCACGCCCAGATAATTTTTTTTTTTATCTTTGTAGAGACAGGGTTGTACTATATTGCCCCAGCCGGTCTCAAACTCCAGAGCTCCTGCAATCCTCCTGTCTCGGCCTCCCAAAGTGCCAGGATTATAGGCATAAGCCACTGTGCCCTGCCTAAAACATTTTAATTTTTTACAAAAATTAGCACGGCATGGTGGTGCGCACCTGTAGTCCCAGCTATTTAGGAAGCTGAGGCAGGAGAATGCTTGAACCGAGGAGGTGGGGGTTGCAGTGAGCTGAGATCACGTCACTGCACTCCAACCTGGGTGACAGAGTGACACTCCGTCTCAAAAAAAAAGAAAAGAAAAAAAATTTATTTTGACGTAGTTTCAAACTAACAGAAAAGTAGAGAGTTCTTTATATCCTTCAGCTAGATTCCCTAAATGTTAACCTTTTACCACATTTGCTTTATTCTTCTCTGTTTTTATGGGAGTGGGGCACAGTACCCTTTGAGAGTAAGTTGCGGGAATTATGGTCCATTCCCTCTAAAAACTACATATTTCCTAAAACCAATAACATTGTTTGAAATAACTGGAGTTAGAAAATTAACATTGATACTATATTACCTCATGTGTAGGTCTTATTGGGTTCTGCTTGTCCCAGCAGTGTCCTTTGTAGTTAAAAAGAAAGAAAGAAAAAAAAAGACCTGCATCCTGTGCTTCATGCAGTGGTTTATCTCCAGCCTTCTTTAATCTTAAACAACTCTTTAGTCTCTTTATGCTTCATAATACGGACATATTTGAGGAGGTCCAGGCCAATAGTAGTGTCCCTTATTTCAGGTTTGATGTTTTACATGCGACTAACAGCTCTACTCTCGTGTCACTTTGTTTAAATTGCAGTTTGTTTTTGTTGGGGATTGATTTTTTTTTTACCTTAGACCTATTTATTTTTAAATCCTTGATATTTTTGTATTGAAACATTGCCACAAAGTTGGAGACAATCTTGTTCTTGTTTAATGAGGTGAATTTTTATGGGTTTATTACAATTTCATGTATGTGTTGCTTTAGTAGGATCTTTTTGGTATTTTGGGCATAAAGATAACCATATTCCAGAATAGTTATCTTTTTGAGCTAACTCTTCATGAACTTATAAAATAATCATAATACTGAAACCTCCATCATATGTTCCTCCTTAGACATTACTTTAAAAAGTTACCAGAGGCCAGGCCCGGTGACTCAGGCCTGTAATCCTGGCACTTTGGCAGGCTGAGGTGGGAGAATCACCTGAGGTCAGGAGTTTGAGACCAGCCTGACCAATATGGGGTAACCGCATCTCTACTAAAAATAGAAAAATTAACCACGTGTGGTGACATGCACCTGTAATGCCAGCTACTCGGGAGGCTGAGGCACAAGAATCATGTGTTTATTTTATTCATCTTTAGGATCAGTTCCTTTTTCTTAGGTGGCTGTTATTGTAGATTTGTAAAACAATACTTTACCTCAATTTATTTCAGGATGTTCAAGATCCTTCAGTATTTGTAACTTTCCCTTTGGAAGAAGATGAAACTGTATCTTTAGTTGCTTGGACAACCACTCCCTGGACTCTACCTAGTAACCTTGCTGTCTGTGTTAATCCAGAAATGCAATATGTGAAGATTAAAGGTAATTGGGGACTGGTTACTTATGATTAGTATGGATAAGATAATTTTATATTTTGGAAAATGTGAAAGCTTACCTTCTTTTTGCATGAAGAATAGAATTATTTGAAAAGAAGCTGACTTAGAAAAATAACCTTAAACATTTGTTTTCACTTCTAATTGAGAACTAACACAACAATCAAAATAATACAGAGATATGTAAAAAGTAGAACATAAAATTTTCTTATAATTTCCTGTTTATAGTATGTTTTTCCACACCATGCCCCTGTGACAGATGAAGAATCTAAGATTCAGCGATGTGGCATCACGTTGTTACTAGTAATTGGTACCAGAACTTGAGAACTTTTTGCCTTTCAAATGTCCCCTGGTAGAGAGTTACCAGTCTCAACAAGGGCCTTTCCAAGATTTAAAAAGAAGTTTGGTACTTTGTGAACAAATATACCTTCAGGTTTGGATAGTTTTGTGGCGGTAAAAGAAAAAGAAAAACTCATTGTCAGGAAAAAGGGTATGGCACAGCTGCTGTGGAAAACAGTAACATTTCTTCAGAAAGCTGAATGGAATTAACACTGTGGCCCAGCAATTTCACTTCTGGGTATTTTCCCCAAAGAATTGAAAGGAGTCTTGAACAGTTACTTGGACACCCATGTTCAAAGTAGCATTATTCTCAATAGTCAAAAGATAGAAGCAACCAAAGTGTCTGTCATTGGATAAATGAATAAACCAAATAGGGTATTTACATATGATGGAATATTATTCAGCCTAAAAAAGGAAGGGAATTCTGATACAGGCTAATCCTTGAATGAACCTGGAGGATATTATGCTAATTAAAATGAGCCAGTCACCGAAAGACAGATACTGCATGATGAGGTATCGAGAAGTGAAATTCACAGAGCAAAGACTAGTAGAATGGTGGTTGACAGAGGCTGGTAGGGAAGGGGGAGTTACTGTTATTAATGAGTACAGAGTTTCATATAGGAAAATGAAAAGGTTTGGGGTATTGATAATAGTAATGATTACGGCCGGGCGCAGTGGCTCACGCCTCTAATCCCAGCACTTTGGGAGGCCGAGGCGGGCGGATCACAAGGTCAGGAGATCGAGACCATGGTGAAACCCTGTCTCTACTAAAAGAAATACAAAAAATTAGCCGGGCGCGGTGGCGGGTGCCTGTAGTCCCAGCTACTCGGGAGGCTGAGGCAGGAGAATGGCGTGAACCCGGGAGGCGGAGCTTGCAGTGAGCCCAGATGGCGCCACTGCACTCCAGCCTGCTTGACAGAGCAAGACTCTGTCTCAAAAAAAAAAAAAAAATTAAAAAAAATAGTAATGATTACACAACATGGTAGATGTATTTGATGCTCTGTAAGAATGGTTGCCATGATTTTTTTAAATAGTTGTATTAAAACAGTCAACTTAATTGAACAATAGCTTGTGCTGACAAGGGAAAAATACTGAGAAGGGAATGGGAAAAGATTGGGTATCAGAAAAAAGGTACAGAGGGAGTTTTTTATTTGTTCTTTCCTCGGAGCAAATAGGACTAAGAGTTGACCTGCTGGAAAGAGCTATTGGCTACAAAGAGACCTGGCTCAGGTGTCTGCAGCTGCTTCTCTGGAGCAAGGACAGTCCCATCTGCACAATTTCTCTGTGTCACTGGTGGGTCACTGGCCATTCTACAGTGAGCTTGACAATCTCAGCAGCCATCTGACTGAGATCTCAAGACACATCCCCCATCTACCTGTGTATAACTCTTGTGCTTGACAGACTTTGTATCTGAGTTTTATCAGAAAATGTGGGCTCCACTTACAATAAAGTTCCTGTGAGGTCAGAGCTAGGGCGTGGCAGCCTTATTCGTAGTAGTTTTTCAATAAATTGCAAAGGCTTTTGCAATGACCCATAGAGACTTATAGTGAACTAAATATATGACATAGGCTGTAGTAAATCTCAGATATGTAATATAACTTACGAGTGAGGGTTTAAATTGGCCTAGATTTTTACTATCAAAGTTTTAATTGTTCATACATTTGCTCCAGCTTTTCTTTTCCTAGGATGCCCCAGATATCCTCCAGAAACACGTACAATAAGGGTACACAGATACATCAAGGACGTTCATTATCCCAGTATTCATAGTAGTGAAAATTTGAAAACAATTTAAGTGTCTGTCAACTTGTTAGAAATAACTCATACCTCTATAAAATGGAATCCTATAGAGCTCTTCGAAAGAATGAGAAAAGTCTGTATGTGCTAATACATGGAAGGATGTTGACAGTTTATTAAGTGAAGGGCTGCAAAACCAGATAGAATATTACCTCAATTAAAAAAATAAAAAGAACTTACATGTTTACATGTATGTTTGTTAGTATATACATAGAAAAATATCGGGATCAATAGATACCCAAATGAGAATGTCTGAGAGGGGATGATAATATGTGGCACGCACTTTGTGAGCTACTTTGTCAGTGTTATTTTTAAACATTGACATGTTTACCCTATGAAGGAAAAAATAATGATTTACTTAAAATGGATATCTGAGCAATAAATAATAACTGCTGACTGCCTACGTGCATTTGATGTTTTTGTCATTTTCATGTTTGGGAAGCAGTATACCGTAGTGTTCTTTGCAGTATTTCTCTGTGAGTACTGGGCACACCAGAGGCACATGGTACAGGAGCTTCTTAGGAAAACAGTATGCTTGATGTATACTTTAGAATCAGCGAAATTCAGAATATAACCCAAGTCCACATTTTTCCTTTTTCTCATAGATGTTGCCAGAGGGAAATTATTCATTTTAATGGAAGCCAGATTGTCAGCCCTTTATAAATTGGAGAGTGACTATGAGATCCTTGAAAGGTGAATATTCAGATAGTTGCTCTGTGTGTGTGTGTGTGCATGTGTCTGTGTGTGTGTCTTTAGTTTTAAAAAGAGAGAAGCTTTATTATCCAAAAGCTTGCATTATTCACATTTAGTTTGAAGTACTAATACTAATACTTTGCAGTCACACATTACAGCATTAATGGCTAGGGCTAAGAAGCCAGTAAACCAGAGGGGAGTGGTAGCTTGATGTGGCTGTAGCCTCATATTTGATTTTGATCTAATTGTGAGTTTACCTTTCTCCTTTTCTAGATTTCCTGGTTCCTATCTTAAAGGCAAGAAGTACAGGCCCCTGTTTGACTATTTCATGAAGGTAAGCTTAGGGACCGCTACTGTGGGGGCTCTCCACAATCTGATTATTTGATAGCTGGAGTGTTGTGATAAGTGGAATTGACATTGCTTCTATGAGTGTACTTGAATCCAGAAAGTCTGCTTTAGTGCCAACAAAATTAAATTGTTTGTGTTGCTTTTTTGTTTTAGAGGTTTTTTTTTTTTTTTTTTAAACAGGGTCTTCTCTGTCCCTCTGTCCCCCAGGCTGGAGTGCAGTGGCACGATTACGGCTCACTGCAACCTTGACCTCTTGGGCTCAAGTGATTCCCCTGCCCATCTCAAGTAGCTGGGACTACTGGCACACACCACCACACCTGGCTAAGTTTTTAATTTTTTGTAGAGACAGAATCTCGCTATGTTACCCAGACTGGTCTTGAACTCCTGGGATTACAAGCGTGAGCTACTGTGCCTGACTGGGATGTTTTGTTGTTGTTTTTGAGATAGTCTTGCTCTGTCGTCCAGGCTGGAGTGCAACGGCACGATCTTGTCTCACTGCAACCTCTGTCCCCCAGGTTCAAGGGATTCTCCTGCCTCAGCCTCCCAAGCAGCTGGGATTACAGGCATGCTGTAATTTTTGTACTTTTTAGTAGAGACGGGGTTTCACCATCTTGGCCAGGCTGGTCGTGAACTCCTGACCTCGTGGTCCACCCGCATCGGCCTCTCAAAGTGCTAGGTTTACAGGCGTGAGCCACCACACCCGGCCAAGCTGGGATTTTTTATTTGAACATTTTTCTCAAGTTGTATGAGGAATCACTTTACATTTGATTGGATTTTTAGGTGTATATTTTTATTCCATGTAGTCTACATACCACCCAGGGTATTTATTGAGGTGTTTGTTTGTTTGTTTGTTTTGACAAAGTTAAGATAGTAAATCACAGTAACCCTGTGTGTAAAGGTAAACACAATTTTATTTCAAGGAGGTTAATGAGGCAGGTGTTTTAAATCTAGGCACCACGACAGAGTTCATACATTTAGCACCTTAGTTTCTTCAGAGTCATAAAGTTGTTTTATGTGGTTTTATTTTCTGACAATGAAGAATCCACAGCTACAGTTGCAAACCCTGTTGCCACCACTCCCACACTCTCACCAAAAGAATAATGTCAAGGAGGAATTCCTCTATCCTTATTTAAAGGTCTTGAAATGAGATAATGAGCAGACCTGGCCTTATGGTTATGTGGAAATAATAATCAACTAGACATATCACTTATATCCCATCCCAGAAAAAAATGTTTGCTGAACCCTCTGTTGTTTATGTTCCTTGTGGGACAAGTCTGATTGATTCAAGAGACCTCTGTGGTTTGGGCCCTATCCACAGTGTGTCTGTTACCTGCCTCTTCACTTTTGTGCCTCTTGAGTGTTTTCCCACATTTCTCATTGCCTACGTAATAGCCTTCTTCCTCCTCCCATGTTGCTGCCCAGTGGATTTACATATGCTCTGCCCTCTTCCCATTCCTCCCTACAAGCATTAGTTCCCAGCATTCGGAACGTGCCCTCCCCAGTCAGTGTGCGACAGACCTGCTTCCTGACTTCATCCTCCCACATTACTTTAGACGTATCCTTTATTCAGTCAAACTGGCTCTTCCCTTTCCTGCTTCCCTGCCTTTTTTTTTTTCATTAAGTTTTCCTACCATTTTAGAAGTCTTCATCTTTTTTTTATGTTGCTATCTGCTGAGTTAACTCACCCTTCAAGTCTGAACTCAGATGTCATCTGAAAGTTTTCTGAAATGCATCTTTGATTTCTCCCTTGGAAAATGTCATTACTTCATTCCATTCTCCTATCATATAGCTTAACCTACTTTGGTTTATGTTGTGTTTTTTTTTATTATCTAAAATCTCTTCCACTGGATCAGTGACTCTTTACTTTTCTGAATCATAAAACCTGTTGAGAACCCAAAAACTCGACCCCCTGAAAAAATACACGTGGACACACTAGGCAGGAACTTTAGGTTAAGTAGAGGTCTGTCTGGAATATGCACTCAGTACATATAAGTTTAATAACACCTACTCATTAAATAAACTTTAGCTAACTACCTGAAACCTTCGGTGACTTTAGACAGGTACTATAAATCGTCTGACCCAGGACAGAATCATCTGATGTTCACTGAAATATACTTGTTCTGAAGTATCAAGGGAAGCTGTGTCAGCGGACACTGCCTGTGGAGCAGCACTGTGGCTCCTGGTGGTTGGTATCTACTGACCTGGGTAGAAACAGCCCAACCACGGCCTGGGTAGGCCCAAAGTAGACCCTGAGAGACAAGAAGCAGTGATTTTGTCTATACTGCTTCTAAGTATAGAACATGTAACTAAGTATATATGTAATTCTAAGGACCCATGTATTCTTTCTGTTTAAACTATCGAAGTTTTAGCACCTGTCATACCATAATATCTAAAATGTTTCAAGGTGATTTGAGTTACAGCAATTAAAATTTTATGGTTATTTTTCAAGTTTAGTTTTAAGTTCCAAAGAAACCAAGTACTGGGATGTAATTGAAAATAACGTTGTATTTGCAGCCAGAAGGCCTGTTCCAGGTCCTGGCTTCGTCACTGTTAGTGATGTGATTTGGATAAGACGAAATTTAATCTTTGTTCTGAGTTTGCTCATCTGTGAAATGCAAATACAGCCAGAATATTTTTAAGACATGGAAATACTAATAGCTTGTTCACAGGATTATAGGAGTTAAATGTGAAAATCATTCGTGAAAGTACTTTTTACCAATGCAAAAAGGAAGGACATCAAAGGGCCAGTTTGGTAGAAACAAGGATTTGTGGAAAGAAATGTAAAGAGATAAAAGTAGAAAGAGTAGGTCTGTTAGTATTATATGTATTAACGTGATGATATTACTGTTGCAAAGAAAATGAAATTGAATACTTTTCCCCCGAGTGTTAAGGTGGTGGAGTACCTGTAAGTAGAACTTACTACTTGTGGCTCCCACTTGTTCCTTTCAAGATTTGCCTTTATGACTGAATAACTTGAGCTGAGTCGAATGGAAAAAGAGAAGCGAAACATATGCAATGATTGAAAATGTACCAGGAAGTGAACGATTTAGGGACCATGCTTTCTGAGACTGTATCCTAAACTGCATACTGGGAACAAAAAGTTGGGAGAGAGAGAACTAATGAAAAAAATCAGTTTGTAACCAAGGAAATTAGAAATTTTTATATGCCGGTCTCCAGATAATTATTTCATTTGTAAGTGGTATCTTATTATTTATGGGAAAAAATGTGTTGAGTTAGCATGTTTCTTCCCAGCCTGAATTATTCTTTTCTATTTCTGAAAATAATTTTACCTGTTAAAAGTGTTTTCAGGTTCTTAGGAAAAACTGTTACAAAGTTAACATTGTAACACATTAATATTTCATCCCTGAAGCCAGCTGTTCTTTCTTTCCAGTGTAAAGAGAATGGCGCTTTCACTGTGCTTGTTGACAGCTACGTGAAGGAAGAAGAAGGCACAGGGGTTGTCCACCAAGCTCCTTACTTTGGTGCTGTGAGTAGCATAAGTCTGGCAAATGTATTTGAGAAGTATGTCGGTAGCCACTTTTCATAGATGCGGTGTCATGTGTCATCACGTTGGGTCACCAGGTAGGCCTCTTTGCTGGCTCACTGCCTGCAAGATGGCTTGTAAAATGTGCATCTGCAGTTCCCTTTCATCCCGAGCTGATTTCTGGAAAGAGTGGGCCAAATCCAGTAAACTCTTTTTGGTGTGCACTTCTGTGAGTTTTCACAGGCATCTAGAGACATGGAGTTGTCTCAGCCACCAAGATACAGACCATTCCCATCACTTCTGCTGTGTTCTCAATTAAATGTTCAGAAGGGGGAATCTGACCTCTCCCCTCAAAACAGTACTCTACAGTTAATTTTATATTTTGACCAGAATAATTTTTCTAAAAACACATTCCTTTTCATGTAATTTTGTGTGAATAAAAACAGAATAACATAAAGGCACATGCTTTACAGTAAACCACCTCTCACCTTAAATCATCGTGCTGCCATTAACGGGCAGTTCCTGGGTGAATTACCCGGCCTATCTGGACTTCCTTTGCCTCCTCCGTAGCATGGTGTAGCGCCTGCATACACATTCCTCTAGTCTTGATCCTTTTGTCAGTTAGAGGGATTGGAAATGTGACTTTGTTCTAAAAGGCAGTGACAGTAGTCTGCCCTCATTTGCCATTTTGCTTTCATGCTTAATTTCTAGGATTTTATTATTTTTATAGAAGTAGAGGGTACAGGTGCAATTTTTTTACGTCGACATGTTGTATAGTAGTAAAATCTGGGCTTTTAGTGTAACCGTCACTTGAGTTTTTATTATGGAAATCTTGAAACATACACAGAAGAAAATATTATAATAGATTCTTTTTTTTACATCATCCAGCTGCATTAACTCTCAACGTTTTGGTAATCTCTCTTGTTGTCTTCCTCTGTACAGTACCACACATTTTTATTTTGGCTGGAGGATTTAGAAGCAAATCCTCAATCTCATGTCTTTCATGTATAAGTAATTCTACCTGCGTCTCTGACTGATAAGGACATTTATTTTCAGTATAGCCACCGTGCCATTGTTATTTATATGCAATAAAGTCAGCAGTTCCTTAATAATCACCTAATACCTGGTCCATTTTGATGGAAGGAAGCATTCTTGATGATACTACTTAAGAGTTTTAGGAACTAGTCAAATATTGTTCATAATCATTTTAGGGTCAATTAACTGGTGTGGTTACCCCACTGTTAGTAGATAATAAAAAGGTAACTTCTTGGTTTTGAATTGTAGTTTAGGGGTTTCTTTGTTGTTGTTGTTGTTGTTGTTTTTTGAGACGGAGTCTCGCTCTGTCACCCAGGCTGGAGTGCAGTGGCAGGATCTCAGCTCACTGCAACTTCTGTCTCCTGAGTTCAAGTGATTCTCCTGCTTCAACCTCCTGACAGATCTCCTAACAGACCATGCCTTATACTTGTGTGTATTCTTGGTTAAATGTGGGTGTTTGTCATTAACTCTAGAGTTATATCTTGTATATCTATTCTGAATGCCGTGCATGTTAATGTTATAGATGATTCATTCTTTAAACTATAGCCTTTAACCCCATTTGGTAAACTTTTTTTTTTGAGAGGGATCTCCCTCTGTTGCCCAGGCTGGAGTGCAACAGTGCAATCTCGGCTCACAGCAACCTCTGCCTCCCAGGTTCAAGCGATTCTCCTGCCTCAGCCTCCCAAGTAGCTGGGATTATAGGTACCTGCCACCATGCCTGGCTGATTTTTTGTATATTTAGTAGAGACGGGGTTTCGCCATGTTAGCCAGGCTGGTCTCGAACTTCTGACCTCAGGTGATATGACCACCTTGGCCCCCCAAAGTGCTGAGATTACAGGCGTGAGCCACCGCGCCCAGCCTTGATAAACATTTTCTGAGAGGCCTTCCGGTTTGCACTTGTCTTCACCAGGCAAGGTAGTGTTTGATCTCCGCAGCGTCTGTGCACTTGTGTGTCATCATGTTGAACATCACTAGTTCTGGATGCATTCAGGAATGCTGCTTTTAGCTTAATGCACTGGGTAAAGTTACTTGCTCCACACTCAGTGGTTCAAATTGCTACACTTAGGGGCTTTCCCTGTCCACCCACATGACACCACACCAGTGAGCCTCAGCACAGGGAGAGGTGAACACAGATCCAGGTGGAAGCGTGTCAGCTTTCCAGCTTGTCTTGGAGTCAACCCAGAGTGTGGTTTCATCAACATAAGGCAGTCTCTTTAATTTTGTATTTAGGCATCATAGCACAGTGATGAAGACTATAGACTCCGGAGCCAAGCTGTTTGGTTTTGAATCCTAGCATTGCTGCTTCACAGCTGAGTTATTTCTTGGTACCTCCACTTTCCTATCTGTAAAATAGGAATGATTGCTAGTTTGTGCGAGGGGAGCACCTGGTGAAAACCTAGAACATCTATCTGCCTTCTTTGCAGGATCATTGTGAAGTGTTTTGTTTGTTTGTTTTTCATGCCACTTTGAGAGCATTGTGAGGTTTAAGTGAGCGTGTGTAGAGTGCTCAGAATACTGTCTCACATAGCACTTTGCTAAACATTTGCTCTCATTATTGTAAACAGTCTTCAAAATATATTCCTGAAGCATCATAGTATAAGCAATGCCAATTGAGACACAGTTTGCTTATTTGAAAAGTAAATACTTTTCAAAGGATCAGTGTTGCCATCCTTTGGGGTCTTCCTTGAGAGGGTGCAAATCCAAATGTACATCAAGCGTCATGTAATACTAACAGACCATGCCTTATATTTGTGTGTATTTTGGTTTTTCAGATGTGCGTGCTGCTGTTATAAATCAAATTTGGTTTAGTTTTAAAACATTCCTGTGTGGCTGCTCTGCCTATAGAGTAGCCGTTCTTTATTCCTTTGCTTTCTGAATTCCTTTCACTTAAAAAATTGAAGTATGTCATCTGTCTTATTTAGTGGATACTCTGCTGCATATGGAGGTCTGGGAAATAATACTTGAGAAGACTGGGCTGGATGATCTAACCCCTGTCCAACTGTGGGGCTCTGATTCTCCGAATGGTCTTGAGTTACCTTCAGTTTACAGGACAAAGCTGATGACATGTATATGTGACAATATAGAACAATTACCTTGGGAATCTATTACCTCATGCTTACACCCATACATAGACTGTTTTATTCTTCCTCCCTTTTGCCTTTTCTCAGGATGACTATCGGATCTGTATGGACTTTAACATTATTCGGAAAGACTCACTCCCCGTTTGCCCTGTGGATGCTTCAGGCTGCTTCACAGCGGAGGTGACAGATTTCGCAGGACAGTATGTGAAGGTCTGTAATCCATATGGCATAGAAGGGTGTCTGTTACTTCTGATTTGTTTCTATCATCATTTGTAATTGTATTGTAATTTTAGGAAGTTGTTTTTATTTAGTTTTGTCATTACATAAAATCAGTAAAGATAGATGTTATCAGTTATGTTCAGAGGGTCTCATATCTTTAGAGGAAATTTCACAGGGAGAGATCAGAAAAACTCCAGTTTATGCCTCATGAAGCAATTTTGTGACCTTAGGGTAATCATTTCAGATCGAAAACTTTATAACCTTAAATGTTGTGGAATGTACTTGAAAATTGCTTAAAGTTAGTTACTAAAAATAATAAATAATATTTGTTATTTATGTCTTTTATTCATAACAAGGTATCAGATTCTAGTAATCTGTTGTTCCTAAGTATTATAGTATGTTTTAATGGCTAAATTTTATTTTTTTTTTTAATAGGATGCTGACAAAAGTATCATCAGGACTTTGAAGGAACAAGGCCGACTTCTGGTTGCCAGCACCTTCACTCACAGCTACCCTTTTTGCTGGAGGTCAGAAGAAACAAAGACTGTGTTGTAGCTAGAGCTTCCAGTCTGTGCTTATATGTGCGCATTCCATCGTATTTGTGGTGTTCATCTCATTTGTATCCTTTAGAGTCGATTTGGGAAGCCGCCTTCTTACTTCATTTTTAGGAGAGTTGGGTTTTTTGTTTGTTTTTTGTTGTTGTTTTGAGACAGGGTCTCACTCTGTCACCCAGGCTGGAATGTAGTGGCGCAGTCATGGCTCACTGCACCCTCCGCCTCCCCAGTTTAAGCAATCCTCCCACCTCAGCTTCTGGAGTAGCTGGAACTATATAGGTGGCGCCATCACACCCAGCTCTTTTTTGCATTTCTTATAGAAATGAGGTTTCCCCATGTTGTCCAGGCTGGTCTCAAACTACTGGGCTCAAATGATCCTCCCACCTTGTCCTCCCAAAGTGCTGAGATTACAGGCATGAGCCACAGTGCCTGGTCTAGGAGAGTTTTATGAATGGCTAAAATTGTTGCTGTCCTAAGGAACTGTGTGAGAAAAATAGACCTGTACAAATCTGTTTTGTGTTGTGGCCACATTTTTTTTAGGATGAGAAACATCTCTAAAATTTTGTAACAGAATTTTTTGAAAAATTAAATGTGATTTTAACGTTTACTGTAAGACCACGCTATAAAAGTCGGGGTGAAAATGAAGTGTTCGGTTGCGTCATGTTTGGTTTCCACATTGCCTCTTCTGTGCTGAAGTTGAAGTTGACATTGTTTCTTAGATAATTGTCACTAGCAGAACTTTTTTTTTTTCTGGTCTTGTTCTTGTATTAGTTTTTGCCTTTCTTACTGTTGTGGAAAGAGATGGCCAATTTTGAAGTCTTAGATGTCTTTATCTATAATAAAAATGAATATGAGCAGAAGGCCAAGTAAGTGATGATGCTGTGAATAAGACATGAAAAGGCAGTCTTACCCTAGTGCCTACTAGTGTCAGCCTGAGCAGCTATGTCTGTGTTTCTGCTTCCCAGATCAGACACTCCTCTGATTTACAAAGCGGTGCCCAGCTGGTTTGTGCGAGTGGAGAACATGGTGGACCAGCTCCTAAAGAACAATGACCTGTGCTACTGGTGAGCAGTACGATGTGTTTCTTCACAGTGTCTTTTGTCATGTGGTTAGTTAAGTGTGGTTTACACTTCCCCCAAGTTATAATTTTAATAACCATCTTTTATTGTGTATTATAATAGCTGTCTTTTATTCTATGTGTTTAGGAACACAAAGTAATTCAAATAATGTTACATAACAGAGGTAACATCCTTGTGATCAAGTATGTAAGGTAGTATTTTTCTTTTTAAACTCATTGGAAATGATAAACTACCATTTTTTGATTTATGGAATGAAATGACCTTGGAAAAATATGGCTGTACTGCCAGAGTTTGCTGGCCTTCAATAAGAGTCATTTTCAGAGTAAACATTATTTTCAGATACCTGCAAAACCCGTTTGTACTTACTCTTGTCAGTCCTGCCGTGGATGACGTACCCTGTGCTTGACTGTATGGATAAGCTCCAAGCACAGAAGCCTTTACTTTCCACAACTGATATGTGTCCTGCAGGTGATAGCCCAAGAGGTATCATTTCAGCCTCTGGGTACAAAATGAAACAAGGCTTCAACCTATGTATTTCAGATGAATGTTTTCACTATGAGTTTTAAAAGTAATCACCACTCTTACTTCTCAGAAGGACCCAACTAGACTCTAGAAAACTGTATTTGAGTTTAGGAGAATGGGAAGAATCTCAGGGCAGCAAAGGACATAGTTATAAACTGTAGCTTTCTAATATTTCTTAGCAGAGTGGTCCTGTCTCTCAAAAGACAGCTTTTCATTTTTAGAGCTAGTAAGCTGATTAGTTGCCCTAATGTGTAAGTTACTAGATATAGAATATTAGTAAGATAACCTTGAGGGGGTGCAGGCATATAAACTGATCTTTGAAGTACAGGGCAGTAACTGCAGTGCCCAAGAGAAGAAGGGGAGGTCCAGTAGCCTACCCTGACTCAGCCTTGTGCTTGAAAAGGATTTCTGCAAAGCTGAACCTCAAGGAATGAAGAGTACTGGGAGTGGGACGGATGCAAGAGGATGGATGCAGAGGGGAGGAAGGCTTCGTGGCAGAGGGCAGGCAAAGCCAGTTAAGTGAGAAGGATTCTAGGGAACTTGCCTCATTGCCAGAGCCTGAAATTCAAGACCAAGGATGACCAGAGGAGACTGTAGAGAGGGCTGCCAGAGCAGCTACCAGTCCCCTGGCCTGTTGGCCTTTGCTTAGTGAGTTCAGTAAAACTGCTATGGTGAAGACAGTGTGAAGACCAGAGTTGTCTGGGATGGGGCTGGCTAGAGTTAGGGTGACTGGTTAGAGGCATGTGGCAGCCGTACTCCAGCTGAAGAAGAGGACGTGGGAGGCCTGTGTGCTGTGGGGTTATCTATGGATGTAGGTCATCGATGGCAGCACAAACTGTTGCATATGCTATGCTGTCCATTTAGAAGACGTTCTCTTTGCAGTGAGTGCCACGTTTCCGGAGGGTTGGGCCCACAAAGCGTTATACAGAGGCCCCTGTGAATATTATTTACATTTTGGCTTTTTCCATGTTTGAATTACTGATGTTCTTACGTGATTGGTTGTGTGATCTGTTTATTGCAGGGTCCCAGAGTTGGTACGAGAAAAACGATTTGGAAATTGGCTGAAAGATGCACGTGACTGGGCAGTTTCCAGAAACAGATACTGGGGCACACCTATCCCACTGTGGGTCAGCGATGACTTTGAGGAGGTGAGGCGGGGCAGTATTTCCTTGTGTTGATTTTTGCTAAAGCATTTTGTTCATGAAATCTGAATGTGGTTTAAAAGAATAGGGTTTGGTTTTGTTTTGTTTTTTCTTTGCCCCTTTCTTATTTCTTTTTTCCTCTTTATTGCTTTCTATAATCATGACATAAGATAATCTGTTTTTACTTTTTTTACTTGAATTAACTACAAGTTATAAAACTGTCCTCTGTAAAAATGAAAGGATACAGTTTTCTCAGGGAACTCTACACTTTAAATGTTTTTTTCTTGAGTTTCTCTGTCTTTTCTTCCCCCTGCATTAAGGTGTATTATTAGCTTATGGTTAAACTGACTTCATAGATGATGAAAAAAGAAAATTTGAAAAGAAATTTACCAAAGCATTACAGACCTTTAACTTCTAAAATCAAATGAGTAAGAGGATGTGTGTGGATATATAGATGTGTGCATATACTGTGTCCTCACTTAATGTCATGCAGAGGTTCTTGATAACTGTGACTTTAGACCGGGTGTGATAGCTCCCACATGTAATCTCAGCACTTAGCGAGGCCAAGGCAGGAGGATCACTTGAGGCCAGATATTTGAGACCAGCCTAGGCAACATAGTGAGGTGCCATCTCTACAAAAACGTTTGTTAAATTAGCCAGGCATGGTGGTGCACACCAGTTAGTCCCAGCTACTGGGACCTCTCTGTGACATTAGGTGAGGACTTACTCTACAGATAGATCTCTGTTTGTCCTTCTGTCCAAAGCTGACAGCATTGTAGCAGTAATGAGCAGCAGCACCCTGGGGACCTTTGTGAATCTCCCATAGGGACCTGAAAGGCAGCAGTGAAGTAGCTGAATCAGAAGACTTTTCAGGACTGAACAGGAAGGGCAGAGAAAGAGGTCACCAGTGTTTACTAGGAACAGAAGCTCCCTGGGTGAGAACCCACAGCAGCTCCTCCTGGTGTGGCCCTTATCAGATGATCCCTCCATTCTGAGTGCCCCAGCTAGCCCCATCTCTCAGCTCTTTACTTGGACATAATCCTAGCGTCCTGTGGCTTTGTCTGATTGCTTTGATTGGGTCCAAGCACAATATAGTCATGTGCCACATAATGTCATTCAGTCAATGACAGACCACATATATGACAGTGGTCCCACAAGATTACGATACCATATGGTTAGTGTGCCTTTTCTATGTTTCATAATGTTTGGAAATTCAAATACTTCCTGTTTTAGTCTGTTTAGTGTTGCTACAAAGGAATACCTGAGGCTGGATAATTTATAAAGAAAAATAGTTTATTTGGCTTATGATTCTGGATGACTGGAAAGTTCGAGACTAGACATCTGCATCTGGGGAGGACCTCAGGCTGCATCCACTTATGATGGAGGGCTGGACAGGAGCCAGAGTATGCAGAGATCACATGGCAAGAGAAGAAACAGGGGTGGTGGGGTCGGGGCAGGCTCCTTTTAACAGTCAGCTCTCACAGGAGCTAATAGAGTGAGAACTAACTCACTGCATTAGTCTGTTCATGAGGGATCCACCTTGTGACCCAGACGCCTCCCATCGGGCCCCATCTGTCAATACTGCCACACTGGGGATTAAATTTCAACATGAGAGTGGCTGGGGACAAACCATATGAAAACCAGAGCACTTGCCATAGTGTTACAGTTGCCTGCAGAATTCAGTACAGCCGCATGCTATACAGGTTTGTAGCCTAGAAGTAGTAGGCTCCACCATGTAGCCTAGATGTGTTTTAGGCCATCCCATCTAGGTTTATGTAAGTGTCCTGTGATGTTTGCCTAATGAAATCACCCTAATAATGCATGTCTCAGTATGTATTCCCACCACTAAGTACTGGATGACGATAATTTAGCTCTAGCTTTTTCTTGGGAAGATTCTAGATTAATGAGCCAGATTCAGGTGCCAGGAGGAAACTAAGATGCCTTAGAGAAAAAATCTAAGATGTTTCACTTACACCGGTTACTTTGATGATTTGCACATAATAAACCCTAATACCCATTGAGAGTATGGCTATGAATGTTTAAGATTCTCTCTAGGTAGGGACTCCCTCTGATGTTGGGTGGAAACAAAGGAGCGGTGTCAACCCTGGCCTCTTCAGAGACTAAGACTAAGCTGTGTCTTTCATGAGAGAGAAGCCACATTAGCGAATACTATCCTTCAGCCCAGAGTGGTGTGTTAATGTGCCTTTATAGAAAATCATCAGTCTCAGGCTGGGTGGCTCACGCCTGTAATCCCAGCACTCTGAGAGGCTGAGGCCAGCTGATAGCTTGAGTCCAAGAGTTTGAGACCAGCCTGGGCAGCATGGCGAAACGCTGTCTCTACTAAAACAAAAAATTAGCTGGGCGGGGTGGCGCCTGCCTGTAGCCCCAGCTACTTGGGAGGCTGAGGTGAGAGGATCTCCTGAGCCCAGGAAGCTGAGACCGCGGTGAGCTGTGATTGTGCCACTGCACTCCAGCCTGGGCAGTGGGAGTGAGACCCTGTCTCAAAAAAAAGGAAAAGGAAAATCATCAGTCTCTCAAACTAAACATGCATGCTACATAAATTAACTCAGTATGCTCTGTTTGGCTCTAAGGAGCTCCTGCTGTTGAACTTTGTTTTTGACAGGTAGTATGCGTTGGGTCAGTGGCAGAACTTGAAGAACTGTCAGGAGCAAAGATCTCAGATCTCCACAGAGAGAGGTCAGTTTCTAAATGTTCAATTCACTTCAGTTTTATCATTCTCCTATTAAGACCTGGTCTCTAGCAGATTACAGAGACACACATGGAAGACCAGCTTGATGAATTACTTTGGAGATGACTCGTGTCATATTGCAGTATTGTGGCCTTTGTCTTGTGAAATGTGAGGTGAATGGTTCATAACCTTTCAGATGGAGGATTCATGGCACTCTCTGAAAGCCTTTGAGAATTGCTGATATTTCTGTTTGCAAGTGTGGATAATGTCAGGGTTTTGTGTAATTAGCAATTAAACTGCAAGTTCTGTTATGCTTAGAGTTAATAGAAATGGCTACTTTTCTGTTTGTTAGCGTTGACCACCTGACCATTCCTTCACGCTGTGGAAAGGGATCCTTGCACCGCGTCTCTGAAGTGTTTGACTGTTGGTTTGAGAGTGGCAGCATGCCCTATGCTCAGGTTCATTACCCGTTTGAAAACAAGAGGGAGTTTGAGGATGCTTTTCCTGCAGACTTCATTGCCGAGGGCATCGACCAAACCAGAGGATGGTATGCCCCCTTGTTCTTTCATCACGTTTTACTGATTTTATTTTATTAGGGAGTGTTTTACTAAGTCGCTGCCAATTATCTACTGGGTGATGGAGACATTGTGGCAAGTAAGGCAGGCTACATTCCTGCCCTCTCCCCCCAACCACCAAGCATGGACATTGAAGTGCCTTTTGAGTAGGAATCTCCCACTACAATAGGGCTGTAGTTTTACAATTTGAGTTATCTTGCTGGCATTTTGCAATATATATGTTATACTGGATGTTTAAATGATAAAAAACAATATGTGTTCTTAGCGTCCGTCAGATCATTCACTCAAATGTTTAATAAGTATTGGCGTAAAAGACAGTGGATTGGGCGCTAGAAATTTGAGGGATAGTTGGCAGTACTCAGACATTGAGGCTAGCCTTGTACATCAACACTCTGAACAAATCCAGATTTTAAAAATAGACATATGGGGGAGGATTTGGGTATTGATTTTTATCTGGTGCCTTATGTAAAGCAGTTCCTTAATTGGAAAAAGGTGAATTCCTTTCTTTCCATGGATGGGCTTTGCTGCAGGTTTTATTTACTTTTTTTTTTTTTTTTTTTGAGACGGAATCTTGCACTCTGCCCAGACTGGAGTGCGGTGGTGTGATCTTGGCTCACTGCAACCTCCACCTCCTGGGTTCAAGCAATTCTTCTGCCTCACCCTCCCCTAAGTAGCTGGGCCTACAAGCATGGACCACCACGCCCAGCTAATTTTTGTAGTTTTAGTAGAGACAGGGTTTCACCATGTTGGCCAGGCTGGTCTCGAACTCCTGACCTCAAGTGACCCGCCCGTCTCAGCCTCCCAAAGTGCTGGGATTACAGGCATGAGCCGTTGCGCCCAGCCCAGGTTTTAATTATATATTCGTAGTAATGTTTCTGCAGGGGTATGTTTAAGGAATTGTTGGTGTCATTTTTTCTCTTTGACAACTTTGGGTAATCATTGAGTTCAAGTTTTCGTGTCCTGTAATGTGCTGTCTTCAGATTCCAGTCCTTTTTATCTATAGGAACAGCTACGCAGAGCAAATTCTGTTTTTAGAAAGGGCTGGATGCCTTACCAATGAGCTTGTTCCTTTGAGGAATAGCAAAGTCTGTTAGCTGGTAACAGTCCTCATGTGGGTCCCATGTCGTTGCTGCCTGCCTCCTTCTCCATCCCTGAGGCCTGGGCTGCCTCTCCTGGGCACCAGAGCTCCTCCCAACTCTCCTTTAGAACTGGGAGGGATATCTGGATCGGTGTTTATGTTAACCATGGGGTCTGGTCTCCTCAGCTCATGTCCCTTGATGTTCGCAGGGTGCAGGACTAGGTCAGAGAAGCAGAAGAGCATCATCCCCGGGAAAGTGGTCAGGGAAATGAGTTCATTTGGGGAACAGGTTAGCTAGCACATGAATGAGGTACACAGCATTTTACAGAATAAAAGCATTTTCTAGTCTGCCTTATCACTTTTGGATGAGAGTGCATTTTGCATCTTTTGTCATCAAATTGTCTTTTCCATATGATCTTGTGCCAGATTCAACACCCATCCCTCATTTTCAGCTAGGTGCTTCTGGGTGGTCCTGAGAGGCCACCCAGTGCCGCCATGTGGCTCTCCACACAGACTTCCTGGGAGACCTGGTATCAGAGAAATGGTCAGTAAATCACTCCAGACCTTTATTTGGATGTTTTTTTTCAAATCATAGACAGTAATTTGATTGGTCTCTGGTGGGTCCTGTGTCTCCATTTTTTTTCAGTAACCAGTGTTAAGAATCATTGCTTTAAGTGATTATCAAGAAGTAAGACTTATCAAAAATAGAAATTCAGTTCAATGAATAAATACAGTTTCTTTCTTATGCTTGGACTTCATTTCTATTTTTATTGAACCGTTTGGGTTTTTTTTTCAGGTTTTATACCCTGCTGGTGCTGTCCACGGCCCTCTTTGGACAACCGCCTTTCAAGAATGTAATTGTGAATGGGCTCGTCCTGGCAAGGTAGGTCAACTTTGTTGTTGTGACAGGTGGAGCTCTGTCTCCACTGTTTCTTAGGAAGGAGTGTGTGCGAGCGGTCAACTTTGTTGTAGTGATAGGTGGAGATTTGTCTCCACTGTTTCTTAAGAAGGAGTGTGTGAAAGCTAAGCCTGATGGAGGAGGAGGAAGGGGAGGACTTTCAGATTGAGCTATTACTAGTAATAGTGCCACTAGTGATATTACTAGTAATAAAATAGCATTTACTAAACTTATTATTTTATGAAGTACTTTTATTTATAGATCTTGTTTAATCTGTACATCGGTCCTTTCATGTAGATTTTGTTGTCCTTTTTTTTAACACATGAGGAATCTATGAGTTCTAGAGACCACAGGTGCCCAGGATCAAAGCTAGTGACAGCCACACTAGGCTTGACCCAGGTGCTCTGCCACCAGATCCCATTCTTCTCCTCATCTGAAACTTCCTCCCAGTGGGCATTGTTTCCTGCTTTTTAAGAAGTCTCATTTTTCCTTTACTTTATTACCTCTAGTCATTAAGAATAAAAATAAACATAAATAAAAATTTTAAATTGAAATATTTACCCACACAGAAATCCTGCTTTTTATGCTATGTGAGGAGAAAGAGGATGTCACCTAACATTTTGTGCATCCTTATTTTTTTTGTACATCCTTATTTTTGCCAGGCCCCACTGTGTGCATTTTCACATTTTAACTCATTTTTCACATTTTAACTCATCCCCAGAACCATGTGGATGGTTCCTATAATTATCCCATTGTAACCTTTGAGGAATCTGAGGGACAGGAAAAAGCAAACTTGCCAAAAGACACACAGCAAATGAGTGGTAAATGCAAATTTTGAACCCAGGCAGTCTGCCTCTGTAGTACGTGTGCTGCTTTTTTTTTTTTTTTTTTTTAATTGAAAATTGTTTTGAGGGCCGGGTGCCATGGCTCACGCTTGTAATCCCAGCACTTTGGGAGGCCACGGTGGGCGGATCACCTGAGGTCAGGAATTGGAGACCAGCCTGGCCAACTTGGTATAACCCCCGTCTCTACTAAAAATACAAAATTAGTGGGTGCAGTGGCACACACCTGTATCCCCAGCTACTGCAGGCTGAGGCCCAAGAATCGCTTGAACCTGGGAGGTGGAGATTGGAGTGAGCCAAGATCACACCAGGGCACTCTAACCCAGATGATAGAGTGAGGCTCCATCTCAAAAAAAAAAAAAAAAGAAAAGTTGTATTGAGATCATTGTAGATTTGCATGCAATCATGAAAAATAATAGAGATCCCTTAAATTCTTTGCCCAGTTTCCCCCAGTGGTCACATATTTTGCAAAACTATGGTATATATCACAACCAGGATATTGATATAGCCCACCAGTCTTATTCAGATTTCCCTAGTTTTACATAAACTTACTGGCTTATGCACATTAACGTGTATACAGCTATCACATGTGTAGGGTCTTGTATCCACCAGCATGGTCAAGTTACTGAATGAATTCAACATCAAAGGCTCACTTCCTACATTGCCTTCCCCTCCTACCTTCCCACTGTCATCCCCAATCCCTGGCAACCACTGTTTTTTTCTCCATCTCTAATTTTGTCATTTCCAGAATGTTATATAAATAGAATTATACAGTAACTAACTTGAGAGGATTGGCTTTTCTTTCTTTTTTTTGAGACAGAGTCTCACTCTGTCACTCAGATTGGAATGCAGTGGCACGATCTCAGCTCAATGCAACCTCCACCTCCTGGGCTCAAGCGATTCTCCCATCTCAGCCTCCCAAGTAGCTGGGACCACAGGCATGAATCACCACACCCAGCTAATATTTTGTATTTTTGGTAGAGACAGGGTTTCACCATGTTGGCAGAATGGTCTCGAACTCCTGACCTCAGGTGATCCGCCCACCTCGGCCTCCCAAAGTGCTGGAATTACAGGTGTGAGCCACCACGCCCGGCCTGTTAGCACTAACTTCTGTCTAAGTTACTTCTTCCCATTTCCTTTTGTATATTCCTGTTTGCAAATGATTTGTATCCTTATATCAAGGTTATATGTGATACTGACTTACTTAATTGGCATCTCCCTTTTGTTTTACAAGTGATGGCCAAAAAATGAGCAAACGGAAAAAGAATTATCCAGATCCAGTTTCCATCATCCAGAAGTATGGTGCTGATGCCCTCAGGTACAAACCAGTGCTTTGCCTTGTGTGTATCTGTTGTTTTTTTATGTAAGCATCTCCTATACTGTTAGTCATTATTCTTAGATTTGGTTTATAGTTAGGTTTTTAGCAACATATCTCTGTTATTTGGATGTTGTGTTGGTATGGTTGTTGATTTTAAACCCCCAAAATAGTTTTCTAAATAATAAAGACATTTTTAAACTAGAGGTCTATTTGAGGAAGAGAACCTGTGTTGGGTGTTGTTGAGTTGTCCAAGTCCTCCCCAGGCTAGATGCTGATTGCCTCTGCCTTACTTTCTTTCTAGGTTCCCTGTCTTGTGGATGTTAGAATTCTCTTTCATCATTTATTTTACTTTTGTGCTTACAGAGCCATATGAGATATATCTATGCTAGAGGTAATAAAAAAGTAATATTAAAAAGCTTTTGGAGACATTAGAGCCACTGCTTGAGGTAGCTGTAATCATGAAATCACACAGTGTTCAAGTTGAAAGGGACCTAGAGATCTTGTTCAGCATCCCTATGTCCTAGGCATGAGACCAGTGCCCAGGCCTGTGACTCAGCACTTTCACACAGTACCTGTGCTGCCCAGGAGCCATGAGTGGAGCTCACTCTTAACTCTCCACTGTCTCTTAGACTCACCCTTGGCACTGCTGGCCATTTGGGCTGGGTAATTCTTTGTGGTGGTAATTCTTTGTAGGATGTTTAGCAGTATCCCTAAGCTCTGGCCACTAGATGTCCAGACTGTGCTGTGTGAAGGCACCTCCTTGTGAGTCCCTCTCTCTGCAAGCAGTGGATGTGCAGGTCGTGTCCATGGGAGGGAATCAGTGGCTCTTGACAAGGACCAGGCCAGCCTTCCTCTTAGTGCTGGTGTACCCCATTGGTCCTGCAGTGAGAGTGGCATAAGATGCATTTGTGTGCTATACAGTGCCATATTTTGGTGTCAGATTATATATACCTTTTCTAATTTGGTAGGTCTCTTACAGAAAGTGAGAGTGAGTTTTGTGAGTTTTAAATTGACCACTCAAAGAGTATTTATAGTTTCCCCCTTTTGTAGAAAATAGGACTGATTTTCATCTTGCTCTCTCAATATGTCAAGTAGTAATAATTGGTTTACTGTCTAAGTACCTTTTCTGTCTAATTTTTCTCCCTCTTCCAGATTGTATCTGATTAACTCCCCTGTGGTGAGAGCAGAAAACCTCCGCTTTAAAGAGGAGGGTGTGCGGGATGTCCTTAAGGATGTACTGCTCCCATGGTACAATGCCTATCGCTTCTTAATCCAGAACGTTCTGAGGCTTCAGAAGGTATGGGCTGTACGGGGCTGCACGTATACCTGCCGAGTCTCCATAGCGCTCCCTTCACCAAACTGTGAGAGACTTCAGGGCTGCTGTTCTCTGCTGCCTGATGCTGGGGTAACTTACAGCCATGGGGAGGTCATACATGCAGGTGCGGAAGGGATCCAGAGTCCGGGCTGTGCCGAGACCTTGGGCCCTAGCCTGCAAAAGAGTTATGTCATATAGTTGTTTAGTCGACCAGTTTTTTAAGGCGGAGTCTCAGTCTTGTCACCCAGACTGGATTGCAGTAGCACGATCTCGGCTCACTGCAACCTCTGCCTCCTGGGTTCAGGCACTGCCTCAGGCTCCCCAGTAGCTGGGATTACAGGCACCCACCAGCATGCCTGGCTAATTTTTTGTATTTTTAGTGGAGACTTGGTTTCATCATGTCGGCCAGACTGGTCTTGAACTCCAGATCTCAGGTGATCCACCCTTCTTGGCCTCCCAAAAAGGCTGGGATTACAGGCATGAGCCACGCTCCAAGCCTAGTCAGCCGGTTCTTGATTCCAGAAACACCATGTTGAGTGAGACACTCCTCCCTTTATGGAACCAGTGGAGTGGGAATTGGGAGAGATAGTAAAGAGTCAGCTACTTTTAGAGAGACCACCCAGTGAAGGCGGAGTCACAGGCTAGCTAGGGCTGGCCACTTGAGATGGTTGGTCAGAGAAGCCCCCTCAGTGGGGTGGCATTTGGGCTAATCTGAGAGTGATAGCAGTTCTTGATGGAGTTTTCAGTGGGTTGTTAGGGTCACAAATAACAGTCGTGAGATATGTGGAAGTGTACTTCAAAGGCAGTTGCCTCCACGCGCAGGATTACTTTCTCACCTCAGAAGCCCTGGCTCTAGAGCCACCTTCCATGCCCCACAACTGACCACTGTCAGGGGTCATCATCACCTTCATTGCACATGTTCCTGTGTGGGCTTTCAAGACCTGATTTGGGGTCAGGGATCCGATACTGCGCATCTGATCTCCAGCACCTTACAAGTAAAATTGCTTGTAAGTAAATAACTGTTGAATGAAAGTGAGATGTTATTCCTGCTTGAGCAGTTCAAAAAGCTGGTTGGAAAAATGAACTCTTGTTATCCCACTCCAGCAGGCAGGTCACTTCCTTCTCCTCTCCTTGGTCTCTGGTTGTTCTGCTAAAGAGAACACATGTTCACCTGAGGCTCTCAGAGTAGCCTTTCCCCAGGAATTGAGAAGGGCAGTCATCTTCCCCAGGGTCCCAGCTTTCCTCCTCTCTGCAGCCCTGCCACCTTTTCTGCATGTGGTTCTCTGCCAAGTAGGGCCCACAGTCCTTGGGCGGGTGCACTCTGCAGGCCTCCACTGGTGTGGGACTCAGGAATACAGGCGTGGTCAAAGCTCCCTACAGCCAGGGCCCATGTGAACATACCAGCAAGACACAGACTCCATGATCAGGGGCTTAAACCCAGAGGAAGAGTCACATTATCACTGCCCTGCCAGCCTGGTTGTGGTGCTGCCAGAGAAACAAAGCAGGACGTGAGTTCTGTTTGTGGAGCAAGGACTTAAGATCAAGGAAGATTTTGCAAAGCAAAAGGAGTGGGATAGAACATTCTGGGTAAAATGAACAGCCTTAGCATGGAAATTGTTTTCCAGTACTCATTTTCAGTTTGTGGACAATCATTCAATGCTAGACAGGTTTACTGTCCTTCCTTCCTGAGGTTTAAAGTAACAACCCTACACTTTCTGACAAGATTTTAGAGTATCTCTCAATTCATAATTACTCTTTGGTGCACAGAAGTAATGTTTTCCTAAACTGTCTTCAGTTTACTCAAAAACATGATTAATTAGTTGAGGGGTTAATGTCCCACATTGGCGCTTATCTTGAAAATATTGCTAAAAATCAGAAATTCACATTGCCAGTAGGGTCTGGGATTTTTTTCTTTTTGTTTAAGTGATTTAAGAAGTTTATTTCCTCATAGTAACTTTCTTCCCAAGTGTGCAAGTGTCTCATTAATTGTTCATTCCTAGGAGGAAGAAATAGAATTTCTCTACAATGAGAACACTGTTAGAGAAAGCCCCAACATTACAGACCGGTGGATCCTGTCCTTCATGCAGTCTCTCATTGGCTTCTTTGAAACTGAAATGGCAGGTGAGTCTCTCTTGGTCTGTCCTCCCAGGAATAAGGACTCTTCTCTTTGTAACTGCCCTTTTGATATTTAATAGTGGAAATATTGAGAGATATAGAAAATTAACTGTTTCCTTTTACCTCTCATATAGTTTTGTTGAGGCTTGTTAATTGTCGTGATGTCTTTGTTTCAAGGCCCTGGGGACTTCTGGCCTGGTGTGGTGGCTCATGCCTGTAATCCCCAGCACTTTGGGAGGCCAAGGCAGGCAGGTCACCTGAGGTCAGGAGTTTGAGACCAGCCTGGCCAACATGGCGAAACCCCGTGTCTACTAAAAATATATTTAAAAAAAAAAAAAAAAGTTAGCTGGCCGTGGAGGCAGGTGCCTGTAATCCCAGCTACTCAGGAGGCTGAGGCAGAAGAATTGCTTGAACCGTGTGGGAGGCGGAGGCTGCAGTGAGTTGGGATTGCACCACTGCCTGGGCAACAAGAATGAAACTCCGTCTTTAAAAAAAAAAAAAAAAAAGCCCTTGGGAATTCTGTGTTTAGGGGTGTCCTGGCGGTCTCAACACTCCACAGAAGAGCTTTGGAGCTGGATAGCCATGGGTCTAGAGCCCAGCTCTACCACTTGTTCCCAATCCAGAGAGTTGCCTAAAGTCTGACCATCAATTTCCTTTTTTTTTTAAATGGATAGATAGTAGATGTATATGTTTATGGGGTGCAGGAGATATTTTTATATAGGCATACAGTGTGTAATAATCACATCAGGGTAAATAGGATATCCATCACCTCAAGCATTTATCATATCTTTGTGTTGCAAACATCCCAATTATGCCCTTCTAGTTGTTTTTAAATGTACAAGAAATTATTGTTGACTGTAATCACCCCATTGTGCCATCAGATGCCACTGTTACTCATTCTATCTTGACCTTCATTTTCTTTATCTGCAGAATACCCAGTAGTGTTCGTAAGGCTTGAGTAGAGACGATTTCCATAAAGTAGCTGGCAGATAATAGGTACTCAATAAATAATACTTGTTATTAATGCATTTATAACTTATTTTTAGGTCTATTTTCATTACTAAATAGTCCCCTTCTTTTCCAGAAAAATTAGAAAAGTCAGAAGAGCAATAATGAAATGGACATTTTGCTGTATTTCTATTAACTAACAACAGTGAGTTTGTTGGGTAATTTTACAGAGATTCAAAAAGTACGTTACGTTGACTTCCTTAAGGTTTGAGATAGTCACAACCGTAGGTCCAGGTGAGAAATCTGGGACACCTCAATCAGTTAAAGTGGGTGGGCAGAGGCCCTGGGTCACAATGAGGGCCAAAGAGGGCAAGGCAAATCCACCCTCACAGGGCTCTGTGGTTCCTGCTGCTGTTGGGCAGGAGCAGTGGCCGCCACAGACCTGGGTTTCACCATTAGCCTAGATACGGCCACATGCTGCTCCCTGGAGTGGGCGATGCTGCCCCACTTAGCACAAAAAGACTGCTAAAGGATTTATCCACCTTGTTAAACATGTGGAAGGATCACAACAGTCCAGCTGTTGCTCAAATAGACATAGATGAAGATGGAAGTGAGTGAGGCTGATTGCTGCCCTGGCGAGGGCACTGGGAGCCCAGCACACTCTCCCCAGACATGCTCACACCTGTGTCTGCTTTTCCCTCCTGAGTGATACGAGTGGGTGGGAAACGTGGGGATTGTTGCCCGAGCCCCTTCAATATTTGAGCACCAGCTGCCATGACCTCCTGTGAAGCTGGGTCTGGAGAGTGTGCATCCTGGCTGGAGCCTGGTTTGCCTGGAAACTAGAGGTTGGCAGCCATGTTTTGTGGGTCGTGTTTACGTCCCAGCTCTGCCAGCCTGTCAGCTTTGTGTCCTCCACTCCCTCAGCAGCACTGTGGGTGTGAGAGGACCTGCCTCACAGGGTGGTGGTGGCCTGGGTAGTGGCTGCTGCTGTTACCCCGTGTGTTGTGTGTTTATTCTTTGTATGTGGGGTTCATTTGGTTTCATTTACTCCCTCAGAGTTGAAACCAGAACATAGGAATGCTGAGCTTCCTGGAAGATAAAAAGTGCTGTGAACTCTAGAAATCATTTAGACAGGACTTAGTTACTGAAATCACCTGTGGAAGAAAGTGTGGCCAACTAACAACTCTGACCTGGAGCTCAGTCCACTGGCACCTGAATTCTGGTCTTTGTGAAAAGCAACAGAGAGCAGCTTTGCCTGTTGCAACTTCTCATCTCTTAGCCTAGACCAAAAGCCTCATTAACACTCCCTGGACTCTTTGCATTATTATAAGTTGTATTTATTTCTAAGTATTGGTCTTGCTCTTTTTGTTTTTGGTGTTTGTTTTTATGCAACAGAGTATTAATTAAAGGGGAGGTGAATGAGAATCCTTAAAATAAGCCTTGCCTCAGATACAATTGGCTAAACACCCTTTCTTTCCTACTTGATCTCTGAGTTTCTCAGGGAACCCTTCAAATCCTCCTAATGCCTCAAGACCTTCACTCCCTCTGTTGCTGTTTTTACTCAACTGTTTTAATGTTTAGAAGGCCAGCTCTATTTTATTCATAGCCTGCGTCAGAGTTTCTCAGCTGCAGCCTGTGGACAGTTTGGGCCAGATGATCCTCTGTGGTGGGGCTGTGCTGTGCATTATAACTGAGGAGCATCCCTGGGGTCCACCCATTAGATTCCAGTAGCACCATGCTACCCTCCAAGTTGTGACAAGCAAACTGTTTCTCCAAACATTGACAGATGTTTCCCGCAGGGCAAAATTGCTATTGTTTGAGATCACTGGCCCGTGCTGTGCCTCTTAGCATCTGATTTGTGCTTTTTGACTTTTAGTTGAAGTACAGTATAATACAATGGAAAGAAGTTGGGCATTGTTGATGCTGTCAAATTGCACAACTCTGTGTAAATGGCACTTCCTACAGTTGTGTAGTGGGCAGCCTTGGACTTTGATCCACACATACTGGAATTTTTGCCTTTTCTCACTGACCAGTGGGAATTCGCATGTGACTCACATGGTGGTTTTTTTGTGTGCACCCCTAAACACCCTGACTGCCGTGTAGCACATCCTCAACAAACAGTCATTATGTGATTGCTTCATTTTGGTTCTTTTCTCCTTAGTAAGTGGAGGCCCTCGGATGGAAGGAGCTGCCCATTCTTTGTTGTATCCAGCCCTCTCCCCACCCCAGATGCCTGGTAACCCACTTGCTGCCTGATTGACTTGTCTTACTTTTAGCTTATAGGCTTTATACTGTGGTTCCTCGCCTGGTCAAGTTTGTGGATATTCTGACCAATTGGTATGTTAGAATGAACCGCAGAAGATTAAAGGTAAGTGCAGACTGCTGTTGGGAAAAGCAAAAAGTGTATGAAGTTTGAAAGTAGAAGAAATATGAGAATAGCCAGAAGGGAGAGGAACATTTTCAAATGCTCTCAGTTTTTGAAGCTTTGTTTTTCTTTTCCTTTTACATTGCATTTTAACTATATTTGTCATTTGAGGGATAGGGATCTATAAGTTCTAAAAGTCATTTGCATTATTTTCACAACACAGTTATGTACATGTTATATTGGAGGGAGAATGTCAGGGCACAAGCAGGACTACACTGAGCAGACCTCTTAAAATTCAAAATCATGTGAATATTTTATTAAAATATTGGCAGATATGGCTTTAATATTGAGAAGGGTACTTCCTTTTACCACAAGGGAGTCAGTTATTTGCTCTGTAGAGAACTCCTCTGTAGCTGCTGGGGGTTTAGGATGAGCAGAGCGTAGGTCCTGGTCTCAGGACTTAAGCCAGGTACGTAAATAACAATGATGCATAATAGAGAGAGCAAGGTCTCTTTACTGCAGGCCCAGTGAAGGCTCCCACTACCCATTAGATATGTCTTCCTTTTTTTTTTTTTAAGATGGAGTTTCACTCTTGTCGCCCAGGCTGGAGTGCAGTGGCATCATCTCGGCTTACTGCAACCTCCGCCTCCCGGGTTCAAACGATTCTCCTGCCTCAACCTCCTGAGTAGCTGGGACTGCAGGCTCCTGCCACCACGCCTGGCTAATTTTTGTATTTTTAGCAGAGACAGGGTTTCACCATGTTGGCCAGGCTGGTCTCAGACTCCTGACCTCAGGTGATCCACTGGCCTCAGCCTCTCAAAGTACTGGTATTACAGGTGTGAACCACTGTGCCTGGCCAGTCGTCTTAAAATGCATTAATAAAAGCCTTCAACACAACTGTAATTTCATTTTTGCACAGATGTATCTCGAAGGACATATGCTAAGATGCTTACAGTAGTTGTCTCTGGATCACTTAGTTATAGTTGAAATTTTTTTATTATCTTTGTTTTTCCTACAATGAATTGGTATTTTTTTTAATACACAGTATATACATTTTTAACATAAGAAATCTTATTTAAAGGTACTTTAAAGTTTTCAGTTAGCAACTGTTTCTGTCTGTTGTGGGTAGATCCATTCTACCTTCAGCTTTCGGGTCCTACAGTTAGGCTTTGCTTTCCTGTCAGCTCACCTCAGGTGGGGTTAGTCAGTGGAACAGCAGGTGCACATCCTGGCCAGGCCTCCTGCACTGCCCTGAAGGGCCACCCTGATGGCACCGACCCTAGATGGCCTGTGGTTGTGGCCCTTTCTCTGTCTCTTGTCCTGTCTGTATGCTGCATGCTCTTTGAAGATTGCCTCTTTTTAATAAACTTATTTTTTTAATGATAAACACTTTAGCAGTTTAATGTTTATGTCTCCTTTTTATTCATTAGGGTGAAAATGGGATGGAGGATTGTGTCATGGCCCTAGAAACCTTGTTTAGTGTTCTGCTTTCTCTTTGCAGACTTATGGTAAGATGATTGCCTTCTTTCTAGTGCCCTTTGGCCTATGGGCTGACTTCGGCACCCACTTGCTGCAGTATTCTCTGTTTATCTATCCTGTATTATTCTGCCAAAAATAGAAATATAAGTTTTATAACACCTTATAGCTCTAGTTCCTTTTCAGAAATCTTGTTAGCTTTATACATGTTAAGTAAGGACTAAGAAATACTAGATTCTTTCTTACAATCTTGGGCAGTACAATATATGTCAGGGCCCTTGGCTCTAGAACGAGGATCTACAGTTCAAAGTAAGACATAGCTCATCTTAATGTGGATTGCCATAATTGTGAGTAACAGGGAGGTTCTTCAGCTAATACCTGTCTGAGTAAATATATAATATATATATATATCACAAAAAAATACTTTAACTTAGCATTGAGAGGAAAACATGCAAATAGTTGTTTGATATATGTTCCTATCAGGTCAGATATTAGTTAAATAATATAAAAGTGAAACGGCTCCAACTTCAGTTCTTTTTATTCTGTTTCTGCTACTCCATGTTATAAGGCTCCTATTTATTCCTTAACCAAACAAAATTCTGCTTTGTACAAGGTCCTGTGCCTGGTGCTCTCCATGCTTGATCTCATCACCTTCATCCTGTGAAGCAGGGGATATTTTCCCCAGTTTACAGATGAGGTTTCTGAGGTTTGGGACAGTCAGTCCTCTGTGCATATTGACTTGGCTGATACATCATTAGGTGCTCCTCTTTCTGTTTTAGACATCCTTCAGAATTCTAGAGGTGCTTTGGGTTTTTCTAGCTATAGTCCTGCAGCTATGCTTCGGGGATATGAGGCCATTTCTCATTCACTGAGCATGTTTTGTAGCCTCATGCCCCTTTTGGTGCATATTACTGTGTCATTCTCTAACATGTTTAGTTGTTTCTGAGTATAAATGAGATAAGTTGTTGATGACTGACATGATGTCCTGTGTGTTCATACAGGCTCCCTACACACCTTTTCTCACTGAATTGATGTACCAGAATCTAAAGGTGCTGATTGACCCTGTTTCTGTTCAGGACAAGGACACACTCAGCATCCACTACCTCATGCTGCCCCGTGTTCGGTAGGAATCAAATAGAAATAAGTCTCACCTGTGCCAAGGAGGGGAGACTTGCTTAGGCATGTTGGGGAGAGGAGGCATTTCCCTGCTTCAGCTCCATCTGTGCCTTGCTCCCACCCCAGCTGACACGAACTCCTCAGGCTGCAGGATGGGGCCCACTTTGGTACATGGTAGCAGGGATGCTTGGTGTGGAACCCCTTTGTAGAGCTGCAGCAGATGGGGTGTGGGCATGACCTATGGGGGCCCCTTGGGGAGGTGCCGGGTGCTGAGCGGCAGGTACTGCACCGCCCTTACCCTGGGGCTTCACCAGGAGGGCCTAGCCACCCTTCTCTAGCCTGACCCTCTTCCTCTTTTATGCATGCCTAGTACCTTCAATGTTCTCCTTTTAAATCTAATCTCTTTCATATTCCTACCTCTACCACTCAGAGAAGAATTGATTGACAGGAAAACAGAGAGTGCAATGTCTCAGATGCAGTCTGTGATTGAACTTGGAAGAGTGATCAGAGACCGAAAAACCATTCCCATAAAGGTTTGAAATTTTACTTCTATTTTACATGGCACAGACCTAAATAATTAAGTCTTTGGAATGCTTTCTTAATGTAGAGAGCTTCCACCAATGGCCTTTTTCCTTTTCTGCAGTGAGTGAATGACTTAGTACTACCCCAGCCTGGCTAGTCTAGAGCTTGAGATTCAAATAAACATTTAATATTCCATTTTTCTTCAGTTTAGAGGACTGGCTGCTGAGTGAACTTTCCCCTCCCTTTTCCTCCTAGTATCCTTTGAAAGAAATTGTGGTTATCCATCAAGATGCAGAAGCTCTTAAAGATATCAAGTCTTTGGAGAAGTATATCATTGAGGTAAGGTAGATGATTTGTCTGTTTTTAGTACAGAAAGACTTAGAACATTATTTTGATGAAAAATCCTCAAAAGTACATAATGACCGTATAATTTATTTTTATTAGTATATTCATAACAAATGTAATAATCCATGATATTTTACACTGTGCTTGGAATCAACATAAATTTGTTATACTTCTTTTAAAAATATTTCAAGATCAATGAATTTCTTTACCTATCGTCTATCATCTTCATTCACTTCCCTGAAGTTCTCTTCTGTTCTTTTCTTCTCTGTTCTGTCCTTTCCTTTTCCTTCTCCTTTACTTTACTTTTCTTTCGACAGAGTCTCTTACTCTGTCACCTAGGCTGGAGTGCAGTGGTGCCTTACCACAACCTCCACCTCCTGGGTTCAAGCAATTCTCCTGTCTCAGCCTCCCAAGTAGCTGGGATTACAGGCACTCACCACCACGCCTAGCTAACTTTTGTATTTTTAGTAGAGAATGGGGTTTTATCATGTTGGCCAGGCTAGTCTCAAACTCCTGACCTCAAGTGATCTGCCCGCCTCGGCCTCCCAAAGTGCTGGGATTACAGGCATGAGCCACTGTGCCTGGCCTTCTGAAGTACTTTTTGATAACTACTAAAGAAACTTTGTTCCTCCAAATTATGCAAGTGACAAGTGACCTTGCATGTAAAAGTCGAAGCACTAGCATGGTGAGCCCCTCTCCACCGCATCTCTCCCTGGAGTCTCACTTCCTGGCTACTTCATAATTTATTTAATTACTCTCCTGTTGTTTGAAATTTAGGTTTCTGATTACAAACAAAAGCTATGTGTGTATATATATGCATATATCAGTGTGTGGATATTGGATAGATTCCAGAAGTGGAGTTTTGGGGTCAAAGTTTAGATTATAGTGTCAGTTGTTTTCCTAAACATTTTTATTCCATGATATTTTAAAACATCTTTATTCCATGATGTTTTAAAAACAAATATGTTTTACCTTATCTTCTTTGTGATGATACAAAACAAGTATTTTTAAAAATTTCATTGTTTATTTTCACAGGTAATATTTAAAATCATTATTGTAGAAAACGTTAATTTCTATATTTGGTTTTCGGTTGCTTGAAAATTCCAGAGAATATTAGAAACCAAAAGTTAGATTGTAAATTCTGAAATTAGTATCTGTGGATATGCATAAAATATAAATTTTTTTTTTTTTTTTTTTTTTTTTTTTTGAGACAAGAGTCTCACTCTGTCACCCAGGCTGGAGTGCAGTGATGTGATCTTGGCTCACTACAGCCTCCATCTCCTGGGCTCGGGTAATCCTCCCACCTCAGCCTCCCAAATGGCTGAGATTAGGCATAATAGTACAGGCTTTTGTAGAAATGGGGTTTCGCCATGTTGCCCGGGCTGGTCTCTAACTCCTGAGCTCAAGTGATCCTCTCACTTCAGCCTCCCGAAGTGCTAGGATTACAGGTTTGTACCACCACATCCAGCTGAAAATTTTAAAAATTAATTACTTCACTTAAAGTGAGATTAATTAATGTAGCCAAATATCATGGCAAAACTAAACATTCCGTATTATTTGCTTCAAGCTGTTGTTCTCATTTTCCCATCTGCTACTGCACCATCACCATCCCTGCTGCATCAGTAATCCTCAATAGCATGACTGAAGCATGAAGTGTTCTGTTTAACTGATCTTCTGCTTAGCTGATAGTTAACCTTGTGGTACTCTGAAATTGCTTGCACAGAGGTTACCTCTGAGGGCTGAAGTTTATATTTCTGGTTCTGGAGTCCTTTTTCTGTTAGGCTCAACTGTCTTGATAGATGTTCATAACAAGCATTTTCTTCTTACCATACAAGTCACTGCTTTTTAAACATATTTATAGAATTGTACAACCATACCACAGTTTTAGAACATTTTCGTCATCCCAGAAAGAAACCCAGTATTCATTAGCATTCACACACCATTTTCCCCTCAATATCTGACCATTTCCCGGCATCCACGAACCTATTTGCTGTCTCTGGATTTGCCTTCTCTGAACATTTCATATAAGTGGAATCATGCAATTTGTAATATTTATGTCTGGCATATTTCACCTAGCATAATGTTTCACATTAATTTGTGTTGTAGCATGTTTGAGTGCTTTGGTCCTTCATATTGCCAAATATTCTATTGTATGTGTATGCCGCATTTTGTTTATCCATTCACAGTTGATGGACACTTGAGGTGTTCTTACTTTCTGGCTCTTAGGAATAATGCTACTCTGGACATACGTTTTTGTGTAACATATGTTTCCATTTCTCAGTTTTGTTTCCTCTTGTGCACTAACTGTAGGAATTGAATGTTCGAAAAGTTACACTGTCTACAGATAAAAACAAGTATGGCATTCGGCTAAGGGCAGAACCAGATCACATGGTCCTGGGGAAGCGTCTGAAGGGAGCCTTTAAGGCAGTGATGACGTCCATCAAGCAGTTGAGCAATGAGGAACTGGAGCAATTCCAGAAGACTGGTAGGTGTCTACATAGGCAAGGGCACCATTCATGTCCTCAGGCTGAAGGATTTTTTTTTTTTTTTTTTTTTTTTTTTTTTTTTTTTTTTTTTTTTTTGAGCGGAGTCTCGCTCTGAGGCCCAGGCTGGAGTGCAGTGGCCAGATCTCAGCTCACTGCAAGCTCCGCCAACCGGGTTCACGCCATTCTCCTGCCTCAGGCTCCCGAGTAGCTGGGACTACAGGCGCCCGCCACCTCGCCCGGCTAGTTTTTTGTATTTTTTAGTAGAGACGGGGTTTCACCGTGTCAGCCAGGATGGTCTCGATCTCCTGACCTCGTGATCCACCCGTCTCGGCCTCCCAAAGTGCTGGGATTACAGGCTTGAGCCACCGCGCCCGGCCAAACTGAAGGATATTTTTTAGGCTACTGTTTGACTTTTAATATCACTCACATCCTTTCCTTTTCTCTTTTGTTTTCTCTTTTCTTTTCTTCTCTTTTCTTCTCTTTCTTCTCTTTTCTCCTCTTTCTTCTCTTTTCTCTCTTCTCTCCTCTTGACAGAATCTCACTCTGTCATCTAGCCTGGAGTGCAGTGGCACGATCTCAGCTCACTGCAACCTCTGCCTCCCATGTTCAGGTGATTCTCCTGCCTCAGCCTCCCAAGTAGCTGGGATTACCAAGAGATGAGAGCATAAGAGGAGAAAGTATTTGCCTATGCCTTTCCTGATACTGTTGACAGCTTGTGCACTATCACGCCTGGCTAATTGTTGTATTTTTAGTCGAAACAGGGTTTTGCCATGTTGGCCAGGCTGGTCTCTAACTCCTGACCCCAGGTGATCCACCCACCTTGGCCCCTGAAAGTGCTGGGATTACAGGTGTGCGCCACTGCGCCCGGCCATCCTTTTCTTAAATAACTTTTTTTCCTGTTGATAAAAATGTTTATTATAAATAATTCTTACTGTTTAGAAAGAAAACAGCTGGGCACACTTAGCCAGGTGTGGTGGTATGCGCCTGCCATCCCAGTTACTCTGGAGGATGAAGTGGGAGGATCCCTGGAGCCTAGGATGATTTTGTCCTTACTCTCATGATGCTTGCTGACATTGAAGATTTGGGAAAATAATTATGGTTTTGGTAATTATTATAAAGGGAAAGTGTAGGGTAATATAAAAACAGTGTGTGGGGTACCTAGCCAAATGATGGGATTAGGAAAGGGAAATCAGCCCCATCTTGCCACCCCTATACAGAGCATTTCAGGGTGCCCAGAAATTTGCAACTCTGCCATGATTAGAGTCATACATGGTCTGAGTGTGGCTGTCTGACATCCTGTAACTATCCTGGGGCACAAGCTGTTTATTTTTAGGGCTTCCTCTGAAGTTGAAGATCATAAGCTGGGAGATGTCTTGAGAAGAAAGATTTGAGGATTCATAAATCAGAGGAGTGGCTAAGGAAATTGGGGGAACTGTCCCTAGGATTCCCCAAATATTTAGATAGGATTAATAAAACATAAGACATTAGCAGCTAAAACTCAAGTTACTGTTAGTTACTAATCAACTCAAAATATTAAAATAATAGTGTTACGAGCCTTCAAGTCACAAATCTGAATTGTTTCACCAGATAGCCAAAGCATCAAAAATTCCTGAGATAAACCTTATTTGAAATTGAAAGCCTAGTTTCTGAGTGGACTGTTCTGCACTTATGGAAAACAGGATCATCTTCAGAACACAGTGACAAAGTAAACATAAAAATGACACCCTGATTCTCAGAGCCCAAGAAGGTCATCATCAGTGACGACAGTGGGCCTCCCTATCGGCAGGGGTGTTGTCATCAGCAGCTGTGCACATTTCTGCCTCCCTGGACAGGCGTGATGCTCAGTACTGCACACTGCCCATCTCATTTTAGCCTCCCCACACCTTGCTCAGCAGGTACCAGAACACCATGTCATGCAACCAGCAAATAGTGGACCTAAGTTCACTTTCTCTGTAAAGACTGTGTTTTCTTCATTATGTCCTGCTGCTCTGTGTTTATGGTGAGCATTTGTTGCCTCTTGGTGCCTTCTCTTAGCTTTGTCATGTCTTTGGACCTGAGAATTTATATAAAACAATAGATACTGGTGATGACTTAACTGTCTTCAAGGTAACATAGTGTAATTTATAGAAAGTTTGTCCTATCTTGGCTACAACCATGACATGAGTCAGAGGGAAATGATCTCTTGAAGCCTCTGTGGCTTTGCTGTTGTGAAATTTTCATGAAGAAGGGGCATAATACATAGGTAGTGGGGCAGCTTGAAGAGGAGGGGAAGCTGATTAACAGTGTAGCTGCTTCTCCATAGGGACCATTGTTGTGGAAGGCCATGAATTGCATGATGAAGACATCCGCCTCATGTACACCTTTGATCAGGCCACAGGTGGGACTGCGCAGTTTGAAGCGCACTCAGATGCTCAGGTATTCTTCTGTTTCCTGGAACATTTCTTTACCAAGAGATAAGAGCCTAAGAGGAGAAAGTATTTGCCTATGCCTTTCCTGATTGTGTTGACAGCTTCTGTCAGGGTAAAAATAAACCAGTTACGTGGTTTAGATTGGCTTTGCTAAATTAATATATTATTATGCCCTTAACATATGCATTTGTTTAATGAATACATAAGCATTTTGTGATTTCTACGTGTAATTGTCCCAAGTGTGGGCTTACACAAAAATGAACCCTTTAAGACGAGTTAGTCAAGGACACCTGAAATTAAGCCAGTTCTTAGTGTTCTACCTGATAAGTTTTCTGGTAGAAATAAGTACACAGAGGGCTACTATCCAGAAATTGGTATAGAGGGAAAGTGGTCAGGGAACTCTCCTTGAAGAGAATATACAGGCTGTTTTAGATTCCGGGGTCAGTATTTTTTGCCATGTTGGAGAAGAGGCTATCTCTTTGCAGTCGTGACCACACATCCCCAGTCAGCATAGTTGTTAAGATCTCACATGTGGGTTTGGGGATATTGCAGGCGTCCCTCTGTGCTTAGCATACCATGTGCAGGGGAAGGTAGAGCAGCACCTCCATAAAGGAAAGCCGAGCTCCTCAGTCCTTTACCCAGGCGCTTAAGTTAGATGTGTACAGAACTCTACATGGGAAGACAGTGGCAAGGAGTCAGAGGTATCATAGCTGGGAAAGAAGGCAGGGGAAGGCAAGAAGGGGGTTTCTAAACACTGACAGTGGGCAGTTCTTCCTCGTTACAGCAGATGTTAGGGGCCTGAAAAGTTGTCCACACTTACAAAAGTGTCATCATGGGATGTTTCTTGACATGGTTTACATGTTGTAGTGGCCCTGCACTGACTGGAGTTTTGAGTTTATCATCCATTTCATTACCTCTGATGTGAAGTGAATCATTTCCTTTTTTTTTTTTTTTTTTTTGAAACAGAGTCTCACTCTATTTCCCAGGCTGGAGTGCAGTGGCGTGGTCTCGGGTCACTACAACCTCCGCCTCCCAGGCTCACGCTATTCTTCCGCCTCAGCCCCCCGAGTAGCTGGGACTACAGGCATCCGCCACTACACCCGGCTAATTTTTTTTATTTTTAGTAGAGACAGGGTTTCACCATGTTAGCCAGGATGGCCTCGACTTCCTGACCTCGTGATCCACCAGCCTTGGCCTCCCAAAGTGCTGGGATTACAGGCGTGAGCCATTGCGCCTGGCCGAGTCATTTCTTCTCTGTTTGCTCAAAGGTAAATGAGATGAGGCCTAATGTACAAGTCTACTGTAGAGTGTATTTTACTCTGCAATGTGCTATGTAACAGAATTGGTACTGTCATTGTTGCTACATCATAATCAGCAACCTTCAGCATAGATGAGATAGAAACTTTAACCTTAGCAAAAATATGGCAGTTTAAGTCATAAAAAGTTTTGTGGTCCATCGTAGAATTTGTTTTGAGTCATTCTCACAAACCTGAAGATCACAGGGGTCATGGTATAAGAAAGTCACTGGAGTTGACTGCTCTGAGGCGTTTGATCCATTTTTTGTGGCCTGAAAAGCTGTGCTGCTCCAAGGGCTTCATGATTATTGATCTTACTTATTAGAAGAGTTGATACTATTTCTTAGATGGTCAAAAAGCAGAGTCATGTTAGGGGACTCTGATAAGAGGTGGTCCCAGGGCATCTCCTGTGAGCAGCGCCCTACAAAAAAAAGAAGAAACAAAAACCTGCACACTTTTCTCCAGAATGGAGGACTAGCTGATTATGAAGAAGTACCTGAATGATAAACTAGATTAATTTTATTGCTTTTGCTCATTTGTGTGAAAGAATAGTGCTGCATTATAGACTCTCAAGATTTAAATAACATTTTGCTGAATTGGGAAGAAGTGTTTCTCCTTATTTGATTGTCATGGTGTGCACTGTTCATCCCCACAGGCTTTGGTCCTCTTAGATGTCACTCCTGACCAGTCAATGGTAGATGAAGGAATGGCTCGGGAAGTCATCAATCGCATACAGAAACTTCGCAAAAAGGTTAGTCAGTTAAGAATAAGCAACCGTTTTGGTTGTTGGGGGAAGATAGGAGAGGCAGGTAATACAAGCCATAGTGATCAGTACATGACAGTCGCTAATCAATAGTCATTTGGAATGTATTCTGCAGGAAGGGCACTCCTCTTCTCTCCCCATGTGTTCACTCCCAAATTGTAGCTTTCAGCCAGCCTGTGCATTTTCCCATCCTTTTTTTATTTTATTTTTTTATCTCCGTTGGGCTTCTACAAAATAGCCCCTGTGGCTGGGGCAGAAGGTAATCAGAGGTGATAGTATCTTTGCAGAAGGGCAGAGGTATAGTCAGCATAGACAGGCTTCTAGCTTAGGGGAGGTTCCCGGATCTGGACAGAGTTGTGTAGTTTTTCCTTATTAGAGAGCTGAGGAATATGCACAGAGCTCATCCTGGAGAGCAGAGGGACTGGAAAGCCCCTGCTAGTGAGAGAATCATGAATTTCTTGCCCTGCAGAGGGCAGTGACAGCTACCATACAGCTTTTTTCCCAGACAGTTCAGGGTCTAAGGAAGCTGTTCCAGCAGGTAAGTGGGTGCTTGTGATTTCTGAATCAGTTCAGAGCTTTGTAAGTGGGTTCTAAATTATTTCTTGGTTTCAACATTCATGAGGTACTGATTGTGCTAGGAAAAGAAACATGCCCTGTCCCCAAAGAGTGGTGAAAAGGACACAAAGCTAATTGTATACTGCAGTGCAGTTAGTCTTACAGATCACCCAGCAGGCAGGGAAGGGTGACTGCCCTTCTGTGATGATTCAGCATGGGATCCGTAGCCCTAGTTCTACAGTACCTTCCTTCAGTTCTGATTAATAGAATGTACTTCCCTTTTAAGATTTTCTGTGTGTGCTTTCAGTGCAGTCTGGTTCCAACTGATGAAATCACAGTGTACTATAAAGCGAAGTCGGAAGGAAGATATCTGAATAATGTTATTGAAAGCCACACAGAGTTCATATTTGCCACCATAAAGGCTCCCTTGAAACCCTATCCAGTTTCTCCATCAGATAAAGTCCTTATTCAAGAAAAAACACAGGTGAGTCCTGAGCTCCGTTGAACTGCTGAAGAGTTTCAGATTAGGTTTGACTTTACGTGCTCATGTGTTGATATTCTGTCCCACAGTAGAGATTGGCACAGCTCTCAGTCTTGAAGTATTGCTCTGGACAGTAGTGGGGAGAGTCAGAGAGTGGAAGCCCAGAAAAGATGGAGCAGGAAAGGAAGACAGAACTGTTTTCACAACAGTTCTCTTGAGGAACATAGCCAGGAGGGTACATGAGCTTTGCCCGGAAGTAAAATGGCTATGTGGGCCTGTTTTTTCTAAAACTAGGAAAGGCAGCGTGTGGATTCTGGTAATTATCATTAAAAGTAAACAGCAATTGGCTTGAGAAACATTTAACTCTTCTGGTAGTGGGTTCTCCATAAAAGTACAGTACCAAAAAAGAAAAATCACAATAGCATTTCTATTGTTACATCTAGGAATTTTAGATATACTTATGAAAGTATGATATTAAAGGTAGGGAAGATACTGGCTTATAACTTAGAAGTAGATTGTTTAGGCTGGGCACAGTGGCTCACACCTCACAACTTCGGGAGGCCAAGTTAGGCAGATCGCTTGAGGGTCAAGAGTGCGAGACCAGCCTGGGTGAAAGATAGTGAAACCCCATCTCTGCTAAAAATGCAAAAATTAGCTGGGCATGGTGGTGCATGCCTATATTCCCAGCTACTCGGGAGGCTGAGGCAGAAGAATCACTTGAACACAGGTGGTGGGGGTTGCAGTGAGCCGAGATCGCATCACTGCGCTCCAGCCTGGGTGACAGAGCAAGACCCTGACTCAAAAAAAAAAAAAAAAAAAAAAAAAAGTTGATCATTTAAAATGTATCTCAGTCACTTATTTAATCATTTTCTCCTGTCTCATTCTATGAGACAAGCAGGACAAGACAAGGAGGGGCTCACAGTGGCTGTTTATTTTTTCAGTGAGACGAGTTGCAGAGTAGTTTCATTTTCTATTTTGCATATTGTGTAATTATTTGACTTTTTTTAGTGAGCATAGATTTTTAAGAGACCAGGATGAAAAGAGAAGAAAAATGGGATATAAATTGTAGCTTTTGATGCTTTGAGTAATGAGATTGAATATGTTATGAGTTGTGTACAGCTCTTGTTGTTACTGAGAAGTCACTGTGTCACGTGATGGTGTGGCACATTGCAGTCAGATGTCACAGTTACTCAGTCATATGTTCTCATGTGCTCAGTTGAAGGGATCTGAACTGGAAATTACACTCACCAGAGGATCTTCCCTTCCTGGTCCTGCTTGTGCATATGTCAATCTTAACATTTGTGCAAATGGCAGTGAACAAGGTAAGAGTAAATTCCATAATTTGTATGACTTTTTTTTAGTTATATTTATGGATATGAAAAAACAACCCAAAAAACTTATGGATGTTTTTAAGGGAATTGGAAGAATTATTTAATCATATTTAATAGGTAACTTTTTCTTCATAATTGTCATCAAAATGAATTCACTAGGTGAGATGCAGTGGCTCATGCCTGTAATCCTACCACTTTTGGAAGCCAAGGTGAGAGGATTGCTTGAGGCCAAGAATTCAACACTAACCTGGCCAACATAAGACCCTGCCTCAATTTTAAAAAAAAACAGCCAGGCGCGGTGGCTCTCACCTGTAATCCCAGCACTTTGGAAGGCCAAGGCGAGTGGATTACTTGAGGTCAGGAGTTCAAGACCTGATCAACATGGTGAAACCCCGTCTCTACTAAAAATACAAAAATTAGCCAGACATGGTGGCAGGTACCTGTAATCCCAGCTACTCGAGAGGCTAAAGCATGAGAATTTCTTGAACCCGGGAGGTGGAGGTTGCAGTGAGCTGAGATCATACCATTGCACTCCAGCCTGGGTGACAAAGCAAGACTTGTCTCACCAAAGAAAAAAGAAAGAAAAAGAAAAATGAATCCGCTAAAGTAAGTGATTGGACTTACGCTTGTGGAAGCATGAAGCAGATATAGTTTTCCCTATTCCTCCTGCTAAATACATTTAAACAGCCTGGACATTATAGATAAAAACAAGCAGAAGACTCCTCACAGATGTAAGGAAGAAAGCAGACCGGCTGAGGACCTTGTAAGCAAGTGACCTAAAAGGAGTAAGTTCTGGGTTTTCTTTTCTGCCTCTTATACTCAAACTTGGAACTTAAGAAGCTGGCAACCTGGAAGTGTCAAGTACAGACCAAAAAAAGCCTCAACAGAAATTCTGCTCCCTTGACAAAGGATCAAGAGATGGGCAGCCTAGCAAGACAGAAAATTTTGAAACAGTAACTGCTCTACTCTAGCCAGATACCATAGAAAAAACTATGGCCCTACCACCACCCACATCAGCAAAGGCCAAGTGGGGAGCCTGGACTTCACCCTTGCCAAGCTGAAGACCCCTGCCTGTCACAGGGGTATCAGAGAAGACAAAGTAGAGAGCTAGGACTTTCATTCTAGTGGGAGGCAGTAATGAGCCCCTCTGCCTGGTGGCATCAGTGGAGGCCACATGGAAAGCCTAGATTTCCATCCCTTCTGGGCAGTAACAAGGCATCCCTCCCATTTACAAATGCGTGGCAGCAATGAGGCCACATACCACCAGCACCTCCTCTGCTGTGTCAGTTAAGGTATGCGTGAAACAGTTAAGGGCGTGGTGGCGGCACCTGTGGCGCCTGTAATCTCAGCTACTCAGGAGGCTGAGACAGGAGAATCGCTTGAACCTGGGAGGCGGAGGTTGCAGTGAGCCCAGATCGCGCTCCTGTACTCCAGACTGGGTGACAGAGTGAGACTCTGTCTCAGAAAAACAAACAGAACAAATAAAAGATTGGCAGGTTGTTAAAAACACACTCGCCAAGTATATGCTGTCTATGAGAAACTTCAAATATAATGATACAGGTGAGTTGAAAGTAAAAGGGTAGAAAAATACATACTATGCAAACATTAATCAAAAGAAGCAGGAATGGTCATGTTTGTATTAGATGAAACAGACTTCAGAGCAAAGAAAATTACCAGGGGCATTAAATAATGATAGAAGTGTCAGTACACAAAGAAAACAGTGATTCTAAATTTATATGCATCTAACAAAAGAGCTACAAAATATATGAAGTAAAAAGATACGGACATTAAAGGAGAAATAGACAAATCTGTAACTATAGTTGGAGACTTCAGCGTACGTTTTTCAGTAATCACCCAAAAATAGCAGAATATAAATTATAAAATATAAATTATTTTCGAGCTCTCACAGAACTTTGCTAAGATACATTGTAACCTGGGCCATAAAACAAACCTCAACCAATTATTACAGTTGAAACCAGAGTGTGCTCTCTGACCACAGTAGAATCAAACCATTAATTAGTAATAGAATAATAAAAGGAAAATCTCCACACTCTTAAACAACATACTTTTAAATTATCCATGATTAGGGAAAAAGTCTCAAGAGGAAAAGAAGCATAGAACTGAGTGAAAAGGAAAATACGACATCAAAATGTGTGGAATGTGGCTAAAGTGGTCCTGAGACAGAAATCTGCTGCACTAAAAACTGAAAGAAAGATGGTTTTAAATCGTAACCTAAGGTCTAAACTCAAGAAACTAGATAGGAAAAAAAGCAAAATAAATGCAAAGTAAGAAGAAGGAAAAACATAAAAATAAGAGAAGAAATCAGTGCGATGGAAAACAGAAACAATAGAGAAAATTAATGATACAAAAATCTGGTTCTTATAAAAAAATTCAGCAAAATTAACCTCTAGTGAGACTAATAAAAAAGAAGACACAGTTGCATATCAGGAATAAAAAGAATTATCAGTACAGATTACCAGAATCAAGAAGATAATGCAAATACTGTGAATAATCTCCATATGTAAGTTTGACAACTTGGATGCGTGTCGCCCAGGCTGGAGTGCAGTGATGCAAACTCAGGTCACTGCAACCTCCACCTCCTGGGTTCAAGTGATTCTCATGCCTCAGCCTCCCGAGTAGCTGGGATTACAGGCATGCCACACCATGCCCGACAAATTTTTGTACTTTTGGTAGAGGTGGGGTTTCACCCTGTTGGCCAGGCTGATCTCAAACTCCTGGCCTCAAGTGATCTGGCCCTCCTTGGCCTCCCAAAGTTCTGGGATTACAGGCATGAGCCACTGTTCCTGGCCTGAAGTGAACCCTGTTTTAAAAAACACAAACTACTACAACTCACACAATATGAAATAGATAATTTTAATGGCCCTGTTAGGGAGACTGAATTTGTAATTTAAAATCTCTGAACTAATTTCCAGGCTCAGTTTCACTGGAGAATTCTTACCAGAATTAATACCAGTTCTATACAGACTCTTCCAGAAAATAGAAGAGGAAGAAACATTTCACTCATTTTATGTGGTTATTAACCTGCTACCAAAACCAAACAGAGACAGTATTAAGAAAAAAGATAGACCAGGCCCAGTGGCTTATGCCTGTAATCCCAGCACTTCGGGAGGCTGAGGCGGGTGGATCACCTGAGGTCAGAAGTTGGAGACCAGCCTGGCCAACATGGTGAAACACTGTCTCTACTGAAAAGACAAAAATTAGCTGAGCCTGGTGGTGGGCGCCTGTAATCTCAGCCTACTCAGGAGGCTGAGGCAGGAGAATGGCTGGAACCCGGGAGGCAGAGGTTGCAGTGACCTGAGATCATGCCATTGCACTCCAGCCCAGGCCAACAATAGTGAGACTCCATCTCAAAAAAGAAAAAAAAAAGATAGAGAACAGATATTCCTCATGAATATAAATTAATTCAGCTATATATACAAAGAATTATGCACCATCACCAAGTGGGATTTATTCCAGGGATGCAAAGCTGACTCAATATTTAAAAATCAGTGTAGCCTGGGCGAGGTGACTCACGCCTGTAATCCCAGCACTTTGGGAGGCTGAAGCGGGCAGATCACAAGGTCAGGAGTTCAAGACCAGCCTGACCAACATGGTGAAACCCCATCTCTACTAAAAATACAAAAATTAGCCAGGCATGATGGCACGTGCCTGTAATCCCAGCTGCTCAGGAGACTGAGGCAGGAGAATCGCTTGAACCTGGGAGGCAGAGGTTGCAGTGAGGCAAGATCGCACCACTGCACTCCAGCCTGAGCGACAGAGACTCCATCTCAAACACACACACACAAAAAATCAATGTAATTATCGTATTATCAGACTAAAAGATTACATGACTATAGCAGTTGATTCAGAAAAAGCATTTGATCAAATTCTACACCCATTCATGATGAAAATCCTCACAAAAATAGGAAGAGATGAGACCTTTGTAGACTGGATGCATGAGCATTTTGCAAAAATCCTACAGCTACCTTTATACCTAGTGGGGAAAGCCTGAATTCTTTCTGCCTAAAATCAGGAACCAGGCAATCACAACTCATATTCGACATTGTACTGGAAGTTCTAGCCAGTGGACCATGGCAAGAAAAGGAAATAAAAGTCATGCAGATAAAGGAATAAAGCTTCCTCTATAGAAAATCGTAAGGAATGTACATACAAACACCTAAAAAAGTAGACCAGGCTTGGTGGCTCGCGCCTGTAATCCCAACACTTTGGGATCCGAGGCGGGTGGATCACCTGAGGTCAGGAGTTCAAGACCAGCCTGGCCAACATGGTGAAACCCCGTCAAAAAAATACAAAACATTAGGCATGGTGGTGGTCATCTGTAGTCCCAGCTACTCAGGAGGCTGAGGCAGGAGAATCACTTGAACCTGGGAGGCGGAGGTTGCAGTGAGCCAAGATCGCGCCACTGCACTCTAGCTTGGGCGACAAGAACGAAACTCCATCTCAAAAAAAAAAAAAAAAAAAAGATCATATTGCCTGGTTTTAAGATGTGACCTGGGATCACCATATTGGTCTTCCCACACCAGCTGCTCCCATGATGGGTGTGTGTTTATTTAGACCTGTGATGATGTCTCAGACAGTACATGGTTCCCTGAACGGCTGTGCTGCTTCAGTGATGTATGGCATTGAGCTGGTCCGTCACTGCCAACATCCTGGCTGTCTCAGGTTACCCTGTAGAAGGAGTCAGATGGTCAGTGGTGTGCATGAGTAATGTAAACAAGAACAGTGTTCTCGTCACAGAGGGCCAGCAGCATGAGCAGTGATAAGAGAGGTAGGGCCTTTTCTCCCATCTACCAACTCCAGGAGTGGCCATTCCTGAGTCAGTTGACCAGACATCTGGGAAGAAGAGCTCCCAACTCCAAGATTATTTTCCTAGGAATAGCATTAAATGCAGCCACAGCCTGGTCTTCTGCCTTAATATGATTTGATATGTTTTGCAATTTACTGTCCTGCTGAAAGCATTCCTATTATGAGGGAAAAAACCATACAAATCATCATTAAATCTGTTATTTTTAAATGTTTGGCCTTTTTCTGTACCCTTTGGATTCAAGCATTAATTGGGTTTCCAAAGTAATTGAATAAAAATCATATCGCTTATAAAAAAGAAAACTTTTGAGTCACAGGATATAAGATAAACATACAAAAATGAATTTTATTTCATACTAGCAGTGTATACTAGCAATGAGCAAGTGGGCAATGACATTAAAAGTGTGATATCATTTACAGGCACTTAAAAAAAGATGCTAGGCCAGGCGTGGTGGTTCACGCGTGTATTCCCAGCACTTTGGGAGGCTTAGGCGGGAGGATTACTTTAGTCCAGGAGTTCGAGACCAGCCTGGGCAACAAAATGAGACCCCATCTCTACAAGAAATAAACTAGGCAAGTGTGGTGGTGTTCGCCTTTAGTCCCAGCTACTTAGGAGGCTGAGGTAGAGGATCACTTGAGCCTAGGAGATAGAGGCTGCAGTGAGCCATGATCATGCCACTATATTCCAGCCTGGGCCACAGAGTGAGACCTTCTCTCCACAAAAAAAGATATTCAGATGTAAACCTAATAAAACATGTTAGGACTTGTATATTGAAAACCACAAAATAGTGATGAAAAAAATCAGACAAAATCTAAATAAGTGGAGAGACATGTTTATGGATTAGAAGATCAATATAGTAAAAACGTCTCTTCTGTCCTGCTGTGGTTTGAGTGTCCCCTCCCAAACTCAGGTTAAAATGTCATTGCCATTGTGACGGCATCATGAATTAGTTAATTACTTCACTAGAGTTCTGGGAATTGTTACCCAGTCCAATGGTGTGACCGTAACACCAGAGACCTGTACTTGTCAGAGTCCTTTCCATTGCATCTCCTCAGAGATGAAACACTTTAGATTCACAGTTGCTTACAATAGCTTTCAGGAAAGTACCAGAGTAAAACAATTAGCTGTCGTTGGATGACAAGACTTTAAATGGCCATAGTTAAATATCTGATGAGAGTTCATTATAATAATGTTACAGTTGACAAGGAAGTTTAGTTATTTCTGTAGTATACAGCATTTTAAGGTAACTAGAATTGTGACTGATAACATTAGACCAGGTCTATCAGAATTCTAGGAATTGCACACAATTTCTGGAACACATTATTTGTACAAATTAACTCAAAGAAGGTTAAACATCATTTCTTTTTTGACAGTGCTGCCCATGCAGATCTAACATAGTCAAATAAGTCTGACTTGTTTACTATTTCTCTTCATAATGAAAGAGAATTCTCTTGAGATATTTCGGGGTACCTCTGGAAGCTCCCAAAGTTAACTCAAGGTCAGAAAGACTTAAGTTTAGAGTTTGATTTTGGGAAGCTAGTAAAAAATGTCAAAGGCTTAAAACACTTGATTAATAGGATTGCAGGTCACTGAAACTATAGTCACTCATTTAACCAGAGTGATAATTAAAAGTATTCAAAGGCAAATATAGAAAGTTACACAGTTATAAAAAGACCTGAGCAGTTTTAATAGAGAGGACTCTGTTTCTCTGTTTTCTTTTCTGTAGAGACAGTGTCTCACTACACTCCCCAGGCTGAACTCTTGGCCTCAAGCAATCCTCCTACCTCAGCCTCCCAAAGTGCTGGTATTATTAAGGCTTATTATTTTGATAACTTATAAATAAATTCATTCAGATCTTAGCCAGCTTGACCACACGTAAAATTCCTTTTCCAAGATTCCTCTTCCACAAACCTACTACAACTTTCTTATATCCATTCTGTTTTGGATTAAATTCTTCCTTTCTCTTACTGTGAAACAAGTCATTCTACTTTAGGGCAAAAATTAGTCTTTTTCTCTTATCGAACACACATCCAATGAATATTCATCATTTAAATTAGCAAAACCCTAAGGGTGTAAATTACCAATGGGGAGCTATTTTTGAGTAGACATAACACAAACAAAGCTAGCTACCATCAAGTTATTTCTCTGTTAACTACTTTTACAGCAGGTGTATGTTCGGCAGTCTTCACAAAAACAAGAATCCTAAAAAGTTTAATAGATGAGGTTTTTTTGTTTTACCGCTGTGCTCAGTAAACATAAAGTAATGGATACTGGCACCCACTTGCACATTTGTTCATAGATTGAACTCAGTTCTATAATTATAAATATCTAGTGGAGGTAACATAAACTTATTTGATAGTAAATCCTGGTAGGATTTAAAAGTTGTATATTTGCATTATGTATTCTTACTCAAGTCACATGAACTTGAAAAGCATTTGTGTTGGTTTCTATATTGCTGAGAGAATACTTAATTTATGTGAAATGCTTATTTTTCTTTAAATCTATTAAATAGAAATCTTTTATGAATTAATTTTTGACCATACCATCTGGAAGTAGAAAAATAACTCATGGCAGGGTGCAGTAGCTCAAGCCTGTAATCCCAGCGTTTTTGGAGGCTGATGCAGGCAAATCACCTGAGGTCAGAAGTTCAAGACCAGCCTGACCAACATGGAGAAACTCCGTGTCTACTAAAAAAAAAAAAAAAATACAAAATTAGCTGGGCATAGTGGCATATGTCTGTAATGCCAACTACTCGAGAGGCTGAAGCAGGAGAATCGCTTGAACCCAGGAAGTGGAGGTTGCAGTGAGCCAAGATCATGCCATTGCACTCCAGCCTGGGCAACAAGAGCAAAACTCCATCTCAAAAAAAAGGAAAGAAAGAAAAAGAACACATATACGTAACATACCTACATGCATAGGCGTATATAAACATACAGACAAGCAGATTTCTTAGCTTTCATTTGAAAACTGTAGCCATGTACCAGGTACTGTAATATAAAACACACTAGTTTTATGAAATAGCTGAATCTAAAGTATGTTCCCAGCAGATGGAATAAATTAAGGTTACTTGCTTCGGTGGCCGAAGTGTTCTACTAGTGTTTTTGGAAACGTCTTAAGATTTTTCATTTAAACATTAAACAAAGAGTTTTCAAGCCTTGACACAAAAGCACTATCCATAAAAGGGAAAAGTGATACATTTAACTAAATGAAAATTTAGGTTTTGCTTTGAACATCCTATAAAAGGATGTAAGACAAGCTACAGACTGGGAGAAAATCTTTATAAAACAACATATTTGACAAAAGACGTCTCTAGACGTCTCTAGAATATATAAAGATCTTTTAAATCTCAACAGTAAAGAAAAATCCAGTTAGAAAATGGGGTGGAGATACGAACAGACATTTACCAAAGGGAATATACAAATGACAGAAATGTACATGACAATATTTAACGTCATTAGCCATTAGGAAAATTCAAGTTGAAATCACATTGAGGTCTTAATACACACCTATCAGAATGACTAAAATTGAAAGTAGTGACAGCACCGAATGCTGCATCTCATACATTGCTGGTGGGAATATAGAATGGTATGATCACTCTGGAAAATAGTTTGGCATTATCAGAAAACTAAATATGTGCTTTCTATAATGACTGAGCAGTTGCACCCCTAGGTGTTTATCCCAGAGAACTGAAAACTATGTTCACTGCCACATGAACGTATATAGTACTTGTATTCATAATAGCACCAAACTATAAACAACCCAGGTATTCTTCAGCAGATAAATGGCTGAATAAACTGTGGTACATCCATATCATAGAACATTACACAGCAATAAGAAGGAACAACTACCAATTAGCACAGCAACTTACTTTAATCCTTAGAAATTGATGCCAACTGAGGCCAGGCACGGATGCTCGCGCCTGTAATCCCAGCACTTTGGGAGGCCGAGGCAGTCAGATCACCTGAGGTCAGGAATTTGAGATCAGCCTGGCCAACATGGTAAAATCCTGTCTCTACTGAAAAAATACAAAAATTAGCTACGTGTGGTGGTGGGTGCTTATAATCCCAGCTACTTGGGAGGTCGAGACACAAGAATCTGTTGAATCCGGGGGGGCAGAGGTTGCAGTGAGCCGAAATCGCACTGCTGCACTCTAGCCTGGGTGATAGAGCTAAACTCCATCTCAAAAAAAGAAAAAGAAAAGAAATTGATGCCAACTGAAAAAAGTCCCAAAAGGTTCCATACTGTATAATTGCATTTACATAACATGTTTTAAATGATAAAATTACAGAAATGGAGACTGTTGTTTGCCAGGGGTTAAGGAGGGAATGAGCCTGGAAGGGAGTTGGGTATGGATATTAAAAGGCAACACGAGGATTCTCATGGTGGCAGAACTACTCTTTATCTTAATGATGGGGATGGGTACAGGATTTTACACGAGTGATAAAATTGCATAGAACTAAACGTACCCACACGTACACATGCCCCAATGAGTAAAAGTAAAACTGAGGCAGTCTGAATAGGATCGGTGGATTGCATCAACGTCAGTATGCTGGTTGTGGTATATACTGTAGTTTTGTAAAATGTCACTATTGGGGGAAACTGGGTAAAGGGCCCATGGTATCTCACTATGTGCATTTGGCTCTACAGTTAACTCAAAATGTTGAAATATATTAATAAAGTAAATATCTGTACATGAATCTAAGTTGCAGAATAAATCAACATCGGGGCCCATCCTGACCTGTGGGGATATACAAATGGCACAAAATGAAAAATGAGAATCAAAAATAAGAATCATGAATACAAAGATTTTAATCTAGAAAAAGACAAGAACAGATTTACCTGGACCATATCTACCAAGGATTGCCAAAACACATGCCAAGGATGGAGAGATATATATATGTATGTATAGTGTATATTGCATTATAGTATATATATACATACATATATATATCTATCTCTCCATCCTTGGTATGCTTTTATAGATATAATAAGCAATATATACGCATATATATAATGTATAGTTGGGGGAAAAGGAAAATAGGGCTTGAACCCCTTTGTATCCGTTTTCCTCCAAATTTAACATTTTCTTTTCAGTTTTACTTGTCTGATTGAGGTGTCGTTTTTGTGACTTTTTAGGTGGAGTATTGCTCCTGGAAAATCCAAAAGGTGATAATAGGTTGGACCTTTTAAAGCTGAAGAGTGTTGTCACTAGCATTTTTGGTGTGAAAAATACAGAGCTGGCTGTCTTCCATGATGAAACAGGTATGTGGAAAGTGAGAGGAGCCTGTGTCCTTTGACTTGAGATGGATTGGTGAAGGTCTTAATTTGCTGTCAGTTGTACTATATAACTTTTGCATTTTTCCTAACTCTCTTGAGTCAGGGCCCAACTCTTCAGCAGTGCCTGCCTGCAGTGTCTGTTCATGCCTCCTCATTGTATGATGTGACTGAAAACCCTGGGCTTAATGGTTCTAATCCTTCCCTGTCACCTGTTAGCCAGCTGGTGGACTTCAGCCTTCAGAGTCCTCCCTTGTGAGGTTGTTTTTGTTTTTGAGACAGGGTCTCACTCTGTCACCCATGCTGGAGTACAGTGAGGCAGTCATGGCTCACTGCAGCCTCCACCTCCTGGACTCAAGTAATTCTCCTGCCTTGACCTCCCAAGTAGCTGGGACTACAGGCATGCACTACCATGCTTGGCTCATTTTATTTAATTTTTTTTGGAGAGTCCAAGTCACTGTATTGCCCAGTCTGGTCTTGAACCCAGGGCCTTAAGCAATCCCCCTGCCTTGGCCTCCCAAAGTGCTGGGATTCCAGGTGTGAGCTACCACACCCAACCGTGAGTTTTAACTTTATTAAACACAATGCCTGGATCTCACTACATCTGGATTCTCAAAAAGCAAACCTGAAAATGTTTTAAAGAATTATAGGTGCATTCTCCCACTATTACGTGTTGAATGTGACCTCTGAAAAGAAAAAGATATGTCCTAACCCCTTGTATGTCTAAATGTGACCTTTGGAAATAGGATTATCGTAGATGTAACTAGTTAGGATGAGGTCATACTGGAGTAGTGTGGGCCCCTAATCCAGTATGACTATTGTCCTTATAAGAAGGTGGCCATATGAAGACATAGAGACACACAGAGAAAATGCCATGTGGTGACAAAGGCAGAGATTGGAGTTACACACAGCTGCAAGCCAAGAAACAACCAAGATTGCCAGGAGCCTCCAGAAGCTAGGAAGAGGCAAAAACGGATTCACCTGCAGGTTTCAGAGGGAGCACATCTGCCAACACTTTAATTTCAGACTTCTGACCTCCAGAACTTTGAGACAGTAAAGGGGTTCTTTTATTTCCTAGCCCCCTGCAGTCTGTGGGACTTTACTATGGCAGCCTCAGAAAACTAACACTCATTTTGTGAATCTGAATGCTCATTTTCAGAAATTTTTAAATAACTTAAAAGAAGGAATGCAAATGGCCAACTAAGGAACAACAAGTGCATCTTAATGGTAATCAGGAACTTTCAAGGTAGTACCACAGTGAGGTACTATTAACTGCCACCAGATTGGCAAAAACTAGAAGAATCTGACAGACTCAAATGTTGTCAGGGATATTGCATAATAGGCACTCTCATTCACTGCTGGATTATGAATTGTTGGAGCCACTAGAAAACTGTTTGCTATTGTATCCATTAAAGGTTGGATAGGAGAAGCAAAAGCAATGTGGGAGAAACCAAGTAAAGGTCTACGAGAAGGTAGCAAGTTAGAGATCTGAGAAAAATCTCTAACCGGGTTCCACCAAGGTGGTGTGTAAGTCAGTGGAAAGCTGGATCTCTGCCTAAAGTCACTGTAGAATGAGAAGTAGAGAAAAGCAAAAACAGGCTGGAGTGCACGTCTCTCTGACCGCATCTGACACTGACAGTCCGGTGTCTTGCAGAAGAAACTGCTGGTATACTTTTCCAGAGAGTTGCACACATTCCTGGCCTGGAAGTTAGAAGAGCAGAGGCAGGAGTGTGGGCTGCTCACTGTCCCACTGAACAAGTCGGCAGATCCACAGCAACCTGAGAAAACCAAGGGCATGGGCCCCATGTTAGCCTGTTTAGCATAATGACTGTTACTAAACTTCTACCTTCTAAATCCTGTGTAGATTTCTCTGTGATCAAGCCATTACCCAGAACCAGGTCAGACAGAGAACCTGGGAAATAGTTTTAGCTTAGCTGCATTGACACAGGATGAAACCACCATAGTTCACCTGATTGTGATCTTGACATGTATACATGGCTCTTTAAACCATATTTAACTTCCAAATAAAGACCCTAGTAGATTAAAAATCACACTTTCAACTCTTTCTTGTACTGCTTCAAAGATGCTAACTTCATTACCCAAAACAAGATAGAAAGTTACCTTATCCTTCTTTGGGTGATGTTGATTTCTCTTCTAGCTGAGCCATACCTCCCCTTTTTGCTGTTCTTTAACTTTACTGAGATACAAGGTTAACCTGTTAAAATATTTCATGTTATATGGTAAGGAAATAAGAGAGTGGAAAAATAAGAATTGGCTGATATATATTAACATGTAATGCCACACTTCATTTGCTGAAAAATGAGTTCTCTGGTCAGAAGCAATGCTATGTGGAGTGCTGTGTTGGTGAATAAGACATTCTCTGCATCCATGGATGGTGGGTTTGACCGAAGCATTATGGGTGACAGTGGCAAATCCATGTCCAAAAGGAGTGTGTTCCAGTAAGACCAAATCACTGCCTTTTCCCATAATGGAAACTGCAGTATAACCAAGTCTGGCTCATCTTTCCTGGCAATAACACTATATTGAAAGCTCAGGTAATCGTCCCCACTGTTGGTAGTTGGGATACACAGTAGCAACTGTAGCAAAATCAACCTTAGGGGATGGAAGTAATGTTGCGGAGCCGTGCCTGGGTGGCCCCTTTGTTCATCCATCCATTGGGCAAGGGCAGAAGTGGCTGGCGGCAGAGTAGGTCATGTCCACTGAATTTTTTTTTATATTTTTTAGAGACAGGGTCTCACTCTATCACTCAGGCTGGAGTACAGTGGCTCAGTCATAGCTCAATGTAACCTCAAACTTCTGGGCTCGAGCAGTCTTCCCACCTCAGCCTCCAAAGTAGCTAGGAGTACAGATACATGCCACCATGCCTGGCTACTTCTTTTCTTTTTTGTAGAGAGGAGATTTTGCTGTATTGCCCAGGCTGGTCTCAATCTTCTGGCCTCAAGCAGTCCTCCCCTTTCTGCCTCCCGGAGTGCTGGGATTACAGGTGTGAGCCACTGTGCCCAGCCCCACCCATTTTTAAATTCTCATTCTGTCTGCCCATTTGAAGAGATCTGTCCACATACCTCTTGCCCTAACTTCCTTGTCACCAGTTTTCTAATTCTGTTCTTTGAGTCCCTGGCTGTTCTCATTTAGTCCAGCTATTGGCCAGTGTCCGTGAATCAGTGTAGATCTACTGCTAGCTCTTTCTCCGAGCAAAATGACCAGCCGGCTGCACTGAATGAAGTTGTGCCCATTGGGAGGATTTCCACCCATCACTATTCTTCAGGGCTACCCAGAGTCAGAACAGGGCCGTAAGACTGTAACTGTCTACTGTGGATGGTACAGCGTATTGTGCAGTAAAGCCCTACGCAGCAAGCCCTAAAATGTTTTTTTTCTCTGCCAGCCAGTCCTGGAAGACTTCCTATAAGGCCACACGTTATAGGTGGTTGAAAGAAGAGACCATGTGGGCCTAGGCTGAGAGCATCTAGCCACTGGTGCAGCAGGTTCCTCTGAGCCAGTGCCCCAGCCTAGTCTCATACTTGCCATTTCCACTCAATATTTGGAGGCTGCCCTGTGGGCTTGTCCTGTATCAAAACCATTAGCAGTCATCTGCCTGTGCATGCATCCCCAAGCAACGTTTAATGTTCTCTAAATGAAATTACACTGCGTATGTTCTGTGTATCATGTTTTTTTCCACATCTGTTCCTGAGTCAAATAACATCTTCTGACTGTAATTAGCATTTTTTAATGTAAGCTTTTCGTGGTGAAGCTTGAGATTCTGATATAGAAGGAAATTTTAAGAGGAGCTGTATTATACAGAGAAAATACTAAAATAGAGAAAACAATTTGCCCTGTATTTCAGATTATTAATATTATGATGTTTATTTTACAACATTAAGGTTTCCTACCATTGCATGTCGTTAAAGGCTGGTTTTATAGAAAAGGCAATGGCTTTTGATAAACAGAAATTAAGTGGAAAGCATTGTTGTAAAAAGATACATGATAGTTAAATAGAAAAAATTGAATGACTTCAGTTTTGAACTGTTCGTTAACCCTGAAAGAATTGTTGTTGTTATTTTTTAGAAATACAAAACGAAACCGACTTACTGAGTCTTAGTGGAAAAACACTTTGTGTGACTACGGGATCGGCTCCCTCTCTGATCAGCAGTTCTAGTACTCTTCTTTGTCAGTATATCAACCTACAGCTCCTGAATGCAGAGCCACAAGGTATGTGTCTCCCCACAGCGGGCAGATTGTGGGGTGCCGGGCATTAAGGTTGTCTTTAATATTCAAGTATGTGTATATTTCTAGTCGACTTCAAAGTATTGCTTTAAAGTGTGGGCTCCCCCACTGCTTTGGGGAGCAACCACAGGCTTTTCTTTTGGTGTGTTATAGAGACTCTCATCCATCTGGCATGGTTAGGAAATGAAAAAATTGGTTAGGTAAAAATGATAATTAAATTGTTTGAGTGCCAAAACATTGTAATCTCTAATTTTACTTTCTTTTCTGCGGAAAATGTTCTGAAAACTTGTATACTTTCCTGATATTTTAGGGTCCTTGTTGTGCACATTTGTACTGAAGTCTTCGGGCTCCTCACTTGACTGTGTACTGAGTATCTGCCCCCCAAGCTGCTGGGCTTTTATCGAAGTTTTGTTTTTGTTTTTGTTTTTCTTTTTCCCCTTCCCCTTCCCCTTCACCTCTATGAAATGTTCAGAGCTGTGTCCGCATGGACTGCATCTGCAGCGGTCGTACTCATCCTCCTGGACCCGCTGCTGGCCTCAGCACTGCCTGTTAGAGCTGTCCGCAGTGGCCACCTCTTTTGGAGATGGAGGGTGAACTCTCGAGATTTAATCCAGTTTGTTCTTTCTTCCTTAGAGTGTTTAATGGGGACAGTGGGCACTCTCCTGCTTGAAAACCCGCTTGGGCAGAATGGACTCACCCACCAAGGTCTTCTGTATGAAGCAGCCAAGGTGTTTGGCCTTCGGAGCAGGAAGCTAAAGCTGTTTCTGAATGAGACCCAAACTCAAGGTAAGGAGATTATGGACCGTAAGTTTTTTGTTTTTGTTGAAAGTAGATTTTGATGCCATTAACCATTTGTAGCATATACGTGTAAGATAGTACTATTGTAATCCTGTTTTGTTATTCTTTCCCCAGAAATTTACCATAATATAATTTTCTTTCCTTTCCATTTTTTTTGAGACTGAGTCTCACTTTGTCTCCTGGGAGTGCAATGGCACAATCTTGGCTTACTACAACCTCCATCTCCTGGGTTCAGGCCCGGGGCTTCAATTGCCTCAGCCTCCCGAGTAGGTGGGAATACAGGCGCCTGCCACCACGCCTGGCTCATTTTTGTATTTTTAGTAAAGATGGAGTTTCACCATGTTGGCCAGGCTGATCTCAAACTCCTGACCTCAGGTGATCTGCTCGCCTTGGCCTCCCAAAGTGCTGGGATTATAGGCGTGAGCCATGGCGCCCAGTCAATAATATAATTTTTTAATAGCAATTAAAAGGATAATTACTTTTTGCTAAATCTAAAAACTACATTGGTATGTTATTAAAAATACATCTTCTAGGTAAATTAGCATATTTGCTGACCTTAAAACTGTTCTTTTTCCCAAAAGTCAAAATTATCATAGGGTTGTAAAATAGCCTGAAAGAAACTTACAGTGGACATTATACCTCCCTTTACAGTTTATAAAACATGCTTACTTGCATTTTCTCCTTGAGACACACAACTGTGAAGAGCTAGTTCATCAGTTGACATATTCCACATTCTATTATCTAGAAAATAGAAATTAAGGATGGCGACTTGCACTTGCTGGTGTCAGGCAGCGTATTTTCTCCTCCTCCAGTTCTCTCACTTAGCACTGTTCACTTCGGAGATTTCAGCTTCTGTGGCTGCTCTGTCAGCTTCTCTGTTGACATCCTTACCCTACTCTCTGAGTTTCGTTCTGTAATCCTGCTACACATCAAACATCTTCACTTTAGGCCGGGCGCGGTGGCTCACGCCTGTAATCCCAGCACTTTGGGAGGCCGAGGTGGGCGGATCACAAGGTCAGGAAATCGAGACCACGGTGAAACCCCGTCTCTACTAAAAGTACAAAAATTAGCCGGGCGCGGTGGCAGGCGCCTGTAGTCCCAGCTACTCAGGAGGCTGAGGCAGGAAAATGGCGTGAACCCGGGAGGCGAAGCTTGCAGTCGAGATCGCGCCACTGCGCTCCAGCCTGGGCGACAGAGCGAGACTCTGTCCCAAAACAAACAAACAAACAAACAAACATCTTCACTTTAATATTGCTGCCACTGCAATCACTTCCCCCGACAGCTTCCCTTTGTGGGATCTGCTTTTTTCTGTTTATACCCATTCTTGACATCTCAACTCAAAACTTTTACCATCCCATCCTTTTATTTGTGACACCTGATAGCCTGGGATTTATTGGGCTTTCTGCATCAGTATTTGTGTGTTTTGGCACTTGTGGAAAATTACCAGACATCTTGTCTAACTTACCTTTTATTCATTCTCTCTGGTGTTCTCTCCTTCTGACACCTTGTTTAGACATGTTTTGGACTTTCTCACTCTATCCTGCCTCTTATTCTCTTTTCCTATTTCCCCTCCTTTTGTCCTTATATGCTACATTCTGGATAATTTTGGCTTTTTTATCTTACCCTTGTTCTTCTGCAGGTAAGGTGCATCTTTTCTCTGCTTCCTGGAAGATTTTCCCTTTGTCTTTTACTTTCTGCAGTTTAACTATGATTTCCCTAGGTGTACATTTTTTGGTATAAGGCAGTCTTTATTTCTGTTACAGTGTTTTGAATTTTTTTTTTTTTTAGACTTGGTCTTATTCTGTCATGCAGGCTGGAGTGCAGTGGCTCAATCACAGCTCACTGCAGCCTCAAACTCCTGGGCTCCAGCAATCCTCCCACCTCAGCCTTCCTAGCTAGGGCTACAGGCACGCGCCACCATGCCCAGCTAATTTTAAAATTTTTTTGTAGGGATAGGGCCTCTCTATAAGGTCCAGGCTGATCGTTTTTGAACTCCTGGCTTCAAGTGATCCTCCCACCTTGGCCTCCCAAAGTGTTGGGATTACAAGCATGAACCACCACACCCCTGCCTCCTGATTTCTACCATTTTCTTTTTTTTTTTTTTTTTTTTTTGAGACAAGAGTTTTACTCTTGTTGCCCAGGCTGCAGTGCAGTGGCACAATCCCAGCTCATTGTAACCTCTACCTCCTGGGTTCAAGTGATTCTCCTGCCTCAGCCTCCGGAGTAGCTGGAATTACAGGCATGTGCCACCATGCACAGCTAATTTTTGTAATTTTAGTAGACACAGGGTTTCACCATATTGGCCAGGCTGGTCTCGAACTCCTGGCTTCCCAAAGTGCTGGGATTACAGGCGTGAGCCACCACACCCAGCCCGTTCTGTTCTTTCTTAGAGTTTCCATCTTTCTATTTACATTGCCCATCTGCTTTGCTTGTTCTGTTATGTTTCTGTTGAAGCCCAGTTTTAAGAAGCATATGTCTAGTTTCTTGGAGACACTGTCAACCCAGACCCACTTTAAACTCAATTATTTTGGACCATAGGGAGAATGTTAAGAAAGCTGTGACTGACTGGGTAGGCGTGGTGGTTCACTCCTATAATCCCAGCACTTTGGGAGGCTGAGGTGGGCGCAGTTCAAGACCAGCCTGGCCACTGCACTCCAGCCTGGACGACAAGAGTTAAACTCCGTCTCAAAAAAAAAAAAAAAAAAAGCTATGACTTTCCCAGTCATACACAAAGGCCAGGAGTTCTTATGGAGACAGGATCTGTGTATCCCTACTCCAAAACAAAGCTAAGTGAGGCGGTTCTCTCTGTATTGGTGTCTGTGGCTGCTGCAACAGATTTCCACAAATGGGGTGGCTCAAGTCAGCAGGTTTCTTTTCTCACAGCCTTGGAGGCCAGACACTGAAATTAGGCTGTCAGAAAGGCCACAGTCTCTCTGAAGTCTCTGTGGGAGAATTCCTTATTCTTCTAGCTTCTGGTGGCTCCAGGCATCCCTTAAATTGTGGCCACATCACTTCAGTCTCTGACCCTGTGGTCACGTTGCCTCCTTCTCTTCTGTTTCCTCTTTTTCCAAATAAAGTTACATTCACAGCTCCTGGGAATTTAGAACCTGGGCCTATCTTTGAAAGGCCATTATTAACCGATTGCATTCTCTTCACTTTTTCTCTTGTGGTGAAGGAACTTACTCAGATTGACCCTTTTGCTATGGGTTTCTTATTTGAAGTTCCAGTTTCTTCAGCAGAGATTTGTTGGACTTCCCAGTGTGTATATACCGGAGGCTTTTCTTTCCCTGCTTTCCTAGCTCTTTAGTGCCAAAAGCATTAGGCCACCAGACCCCATGGGAGTCATTATTTTTGGCCTGTGGAATTCTCCCGTTTTCTTCCTGTGCAGCTATTTTTTTTTTTTAATTTAGTTGCATATCATACTTGTAAATTATCTGTCATAATGTTAAATACTAAAGCTCTGTTTCTTCTTGGGTTCCTCCTTCCCTCCCTGGGTTTATTTCCGGTGACTCTCCTTGGTCGTTTTCCCTCTCATCTAATTTCGGGCCTCATCGTCCATCAAAGTCACCAGTCTGCAGGCTGTACTCTTCCGCCGGAGCTGTCTTCATGAACATTCCTGCCTCGATTTTGTTCCTTTGCTTAGAGCCCCCAAAGCTCCGTATTCTCTTATGCTTCAGAATCTTCCCTTCCACACAAGATCTTTCCTGCTCTGGTGATTCTGTCCTTTCCTGTCTTGCTAATTCTGTCCATGAGTCTTTCACTCTATCAGAGGCTTTTTTCACTCTCCCTCGAACACACTTGGCTCTTTCATTGTGGTATGGTAGTAAAGATCATCTAATAATGTAGCTTTCTATTTTGATAAGCTTATATAAAACTTTAGAGATAATTCATAACTCTTTTCTTGTCTCTCAAATCCATTGGTCACCAAGTACTGTTGTGCAGTGGAGCTGAAGATGACATTTATCTCTCACTTGTTCTTGCAAGTAAATGCAGTGGCATGATTGAAGCTGGTCAGGGGTAGAATCGTGTCTGTGTGAATTATGTATTTATAATACTACCTGCAATTCACATAACCTTTCTGTATTCTCTACTGCCTTTCTGTATTCTCTTTACTCTGTGATGTTAGCTAGGCAAAAGTTTAGTAGGTGAGAGCTTTTAAAGGTTTAGTGATTTACCTAAGATTACCACAAAGATGGAACTTTTTCTAATTCAGTATCTTTCCAATCTAGTATCTGTAGCTTCATTTTCATTATGCCTTTTCTCTCAGAATTGTCTTTCATAAAGTATCAGTAACTTGATAAATTAGAAGAGCCACAAAATGTTGACCATTTTAGAAACTCTTAAATGTCTTCTTGCTTGCTCCACTAAATTCTAAACATCATCTCCAGGTCCTGTGATTATCTATTAAGGAAGTAGCTTTGAGAGTGTTCTCACATCTAGGATTGCCTGCTAGGTAGGACAAGAGCTATTTTTAAAGAAAGCTCATCTGTTTGCTTTAAATTCAGATCTGACTAGAAGCAAAATGCTCCACAGTAGGCAGATAACTTTAAATTTTCTTTTTTCTTTGTTTTTTCTTTGTTTTTTTTGAGTGGTATATTCACTGTGTTTTAATCAATTGCATTTGGGTTATATTTTTGGATGCTCAGAGTTTTCCTTATTGGCCATATTAGATCCTATATTCTTTAACATGATCCTGTGTCTTTGGTAAATTCTTGCTTTCTCACATAGCAAACATGTCCTAGGCTTATTATGTACTCTTACTTCTCCAGACATAGAAAATAACTGTTCTTCAAATTACAGAGAATCATATTTTGAAACCACATATCTGGGATACTGAGTTGGCACAGCTTCTGGGCTTTTTTTGTAGACATAAGAAGTATCTGTTTATGAAGAAAAACAACCATCTTGGCAGTACCCAGAGTTAGCCAAACTGTGAAGTGATGGCATCGTCCTCCAGAAGGCTCCAAGAGTCTGTCCAAAATCTGACTCCACCTGCACAGAGTTAGGGTTCTGTGAACTCAGTAAAGGATCCACATCAGACCCCCATCACTGCTGGCACCAACTGCAAGTTCCAGGGATTTTCCTAAACCACTCTCAGGTTCAGTAACCTGCTGGGAGGACTCAGAGTCACGGAAAGGTGTTACACTCATGGTTTGAATTAGGGTAGGGAAAGGATACACGTTAGAACCAGTGAGAGCGAGAGAGAGATACCCCTGGAGTCATGGATAATGTTTCTTTCTCCCATCCCTTACATCTGACAGCACAGAGACTATAGTACCAACCTGGGAAGCTCACTTGAGCCTTGGTGTCAGTTTCTGTTGAGGTTTCATTCTGTAGGCATGACTGCTGTCTTTCTCAGCTGATAATACCATGCGACCCAAAGTCCCCATCCCAAATCGTATACTTGGTCTTTCTGTCGTGGCCAGCACTACACTGAATCACCTCATTAGCAACAACTGTCAGGTTTGGTGAACGTGCCCACCGTGAGAAACAAAGACTCCTACTAAGAAATTCCAAGGATGTAGAGATTCCACTCAGGAGCTGGGGCAAAGGGCAGAACTCTTAGGTTAAGGCCAAATTCCTTACTACACGGCAGTTAACATTTTTTTAAATATTCACCCCCAATAGGTAAAATACTGATTTTTTTTCAACTTTTTCTTTTCATTCTAGAAATTACAGAAGACATCCCCGTGAAGACTTTGAATATGAAGACTGTGTATGTTTCTGTATTACCAACAACAGCAGACTTCTAGCATGCACTTATCAATGTTGTTCAGTCAACCTTTCCCTGATTACACCCATCCCGTGCACATATGTGCACATAGACACACACATGAACACACTGAAGATGTTTCCTTCAGGTGCATGTAAAATATGCTGCTTGGATTGAAATACAAATGGGATTGATTAGTTAAGTAACTTGAGACCTCACAGTAATCTTCACACTTAACCTTAGACACCTATGCAGTCATGTTGGGAGCAGGTTACAGTGTTACCTCAGCACCACAGTTTATTTCTATACTTGAGTTCTTCAGTATAGAAGGTAGAAGTGATTTAAATGGCATAGCATATATATCATTTTCTGGCCTCTTAAAATTTGAGACCTCTTGATGAAATGGACATATTATATATTTCTGCCACCTGGATTTTCCTGGATAATTTGATGGAATATTTTAAGTTTCAGTAAATCAGAACAATAAACAAACTCAGATATAAATGTTTTGAAAGTAATTCATTCTCCCACAGATAGATGAAACTTGAAATGTGTAATCTTTGAAGAACATAAAAACTTCACGGTGGTTTCTGTATTAAGACAGTGGACTAGATATGTAATAAAACTTCTTCCCAAAATTCTGGGTGATAATTTGAGTCCTCAAAGAAGCAGATGACATGACAAAGTTAGATGTGCAAGAATTTATTAGAAGAAACACAACTGGAGGATAAACCAGAGATGGAGCAGGCGTAGGTCGAGAGAGCCTTCAGACTCCAGTGTGGGTCTGACACCTGTAACAAGAGAAAACGAAGATTGATTAGCAAAAACTCAGACTGCAGTGCAACTCTAAGACAAAGTCGGTCAGGCCAGTGGAGAGTTCCCAGGCAAGGATTCCTTTTAGTAGAGTTCAGAATTGGGCAGAAATAGCCTGGCTTTGTTCCCCTGACTTCCTCAAGTCAGTGTCTGGGAGGAGACCAAGGGGAGCGTGGCCTTTGCACAAATGCCTTGATGGATCTGAAAGTACCAACTACACTCCTCACATCAGTAACTTCGAAGGGAGATCTGAATGAAGCATCCCTATGGCTGCTACAGCAGATGCATTCACACAAAAACCCACAAGTTGGAGAAAATAGAGGAAACAACCAGAATTTGGGGAGTTGGAAAGCAGATAGATGGTGTTAACTAACTTGGTAGACCCAGGAAATCCCAATTCTAAATCAATGGAGAAACTAATAAACTTATTTACATTTCAGAATTCATAGCACCAGTTACCTCTGGGATGAAAGGTGGAAGAGGCCCAGAAATAGGGAAGATCGCACCCACACTGGGAAGCCTTATGGCATCTCCCATTTCCATGTTGCTAAGCGACTCTCTTTATTCCCACCCCCAACTCCACCCCGCCACAGTTGGCATCTGGAAGGTAAAAAGGGACTGGTTGGTAGAAGTCAGAGTGAATGGAAGGCAAGTACTTGTAAGCCTGGAGGATTCCTAAAATCAACCCTCAGGTTAGATAATTTGCTAGAAGGACTCACAGAACTCAATGAAAGCTTTGTATTCATGGTTACAGTTAATGACAGGGAAATGTTAAAGATCAAAATCAGCCAAAGGAAGAGGAGAGGGCAGAAGTACCAAACTTCAGGAGAAGTACCAAACACAGCTGTTGTCCTGTCTGTGAAGTCAGAAAGCATTACTCTACTGGCATCAATGTGTGACAGTGTGCACAGAGCATTGCCAGCTAGGGAAGTTCACCCAAGCCTTGGAACCCAGAGTGTTTATTGAGGCTGCTTTACGTATCCGTGATTGATTGTCCATGTGGTTAATCACAGTCTCTAGGTCAGCTGATAGCGCATGACCCAAAACCTCCATCCTAAATCACATTGTTGATATGTCTGATGTGTTGTACCCCACCACTATAAGACTATATAGATTTGTCCCACCCCAGCCATAAATCGTATTGTCAAGGCTATTCAGTATGACCTAGGATCCCCAGGTAAACAAAGGCATTCCTATGTAGCATAACATCCCAAGGGCAAGGCCAAATTCCTTTACACACAGTACTGTACTGGAAACAAGATTAAGTGGCTTTATACAGACTGTCCACTATACCAAAGAAGAATATAAAAGATTGACACCAAGTATTGCCTGGGAAAAAGGCTCACTGTGAACAATGAACTTTGAAGTTGAGAAGTCCCACCCATACTCAGGTCAGTGTTTAGCCCCCAACTCTTATTCAGGAGACTCCCATCTAGAATTACCAGAGATCTAGTGAAAGCCTCTAATCCAAAACCAAAAGAGAAAACCAAAGCGACTTTGAGGAATCAAACGATGCAGTGAGAAGAACATTCCCCCTGCCAAATGTGTTAATATCCTTAGAGTTACAAGATACTACATCTATAAAATAACAGAATGCTACAAAACATTAAAATCTCAAGAGGAGAAAAATAATGTTCCTGTTAAAGTAAGACAATATAAATGAAAAAAAAAAATCATTGGAAAATAGTGTTGAAATTTTCTGAATGCTAGATAGATTAAATACATAAGGTGGGAGAAAAGAGATATTGTACATAAGTTAGAGTCCAGGAGTTCCAGTATCCAAATTGTAGGAATTCCAGAAAGAAGAAAAATAAGGTCAGAAAATTATAATTAATGTAAACAAATTTTGCAGAACTTACAGCCAGAGTGAAAGACACCTTCAAATGTCTAGCACAATGCATGAAAATAGACTCACTCCCAAGGCATATAACAGAAATTTCAGAACATGAAGACTAAGTTTCTAGAAAGAAAAAAGCAAAAGGGATATAGAAAAGATTAGCAATTAGTAAGGATTTTTCTTTTCAACCTCTGGGAGCACAGAACAATTTAGTAAGGATTTGATTTCTCAGCAACACAGCAAGAAGAGAATCTCCCCAATTCTTCGGGGAAAGTTTTCTAACTATATTCTACACAACCAAATTATCAAACAAATATGAAATTAGAATAAAGACATTTTCAGACATGAGTTAGGTCTCAAAATTATCTCCCATGTACTCTTAGGGAGTTACTAAGTAATGTGCTCTACCAAGTGGCAGAAACCCCACTGAGATCGTGGTTCCTAAAGCAATTCTCCCATGAAGGGAACTAGGTTTCCCTGGGAAAAATTGCTGATTCTAGAGCTGGAGCTGGGAATGTATGAGATGAGTGGAACATCTTGTAGTAACAGAAAGGGAAGTGATCAAAAAACAGTGGTGAGTGACATCAGCAAGATGGCAAAATATTAATAGCCCTGCCGAGCGTGGTGGCTCACACCTGTAATCCCATCTCTTTGGGAGACTGAGGTGGCGGATCACGAGGTCAGGAGTTTGAGACTAGCCTGGCCAACATGGTGAAACCCCATTTCTACTAAAAATACAAAAATTAGCCGAGCATGGTGTCACATTCCTGTAATCCCAGCTACTCAAGAGGCTGAGGCAAGAGAATCGCTTGAACCCAGGAAGCGGAGGTTGCAGTGAGCTGAGGTTGCACCACTGCACTCCAGCCTGGGCGACAAAGCAAGTTTCCGTCTCAAAAACTAAAAACGAAAAAAAATAAGCCCCAGGCCCTCCTTCTCCCATAGAGACACTGACTTAACACTATATGGACCAAATTGCCATTGTGAGAATTTTTCAGAAATCAGTTAAAAAGTTGCAATACCCCAGGTGAACGTAAAAGCAAGAAGAGCTGATTTGAAGCAGGTGAGAAAGTCCATTACGTTTGCATACCATAGGTTCTCCCAGTACCAAGCACAGTGCGGCACAATCTGGAGGTATCTCCCACTTGCACCTTCTTTCTCTAGAGGGAAAGAGTAGAGTGGAATGTATGTTCCATGTTCTGGCTTATAGTGGGGCTGACCAAAGGACGGATTTCTGTTCATGTGACTCAGAGCACTGACAGGAACAGTGTCGTACTTTGGATGACTGGGGGCTGCTGAGAACAAACGTGAGAGCTATAGCCTTGTTACAGCACTGCAGGAGCTAGTATCATAAACAGATACCAAGGGGAGCAAGAAATTATGAGTTCCTTAAAAAGAAACGGGCAAACCTCTTTAGGAAATTACACAGACAAACCCCTAGAAAAGATTTGAGGTCCCCAAGATCTCCAGCTAAACTAATGTGTGATGCTGTTCCTTTTTACAAGGCCAGTCTATAAAGAGTCAGAGAGATGGCTGTTTTTTCAGATGCCCAAATCTCAACGAAAGATGAGCAGGTGGCTGGACACAATGACTCATGCCTGTAATCCCAGCACTTTGGGAGACCAAGGCAGGAGGATCACTTGAGTCCAGGAGTTTAAGACCAGCACTGTCACGGTTTGCTACAAAATTGAACAACATTAGCACAAAACAAACACAACATTCTTTTGTCTCCTTTCTAGGCAGCAGGCTTTATTTTGTGTGCTTTGGGCCTATTCTGTCAGGAGAAGGGTGCCTAGTGTCAAATCCTGCAAGGCCTGAGGTGGGGGCCTCTCAGGTAGCCTTAGGCCTCCCAGGTGACCTCAGATCTCTCAGGTGAGGTCTGTCCTCCCAGGTGACCTCTGCCCTGCCACGTGAGGTTCTGGCACAGTGACTTTGACTCTTGCAGGAGATGGGCTACTGCCAGGGTGTGAACCAGGTCGCTGTTGTCCTGCTGATGTTCCCCAAGGAGAAAGAGGCCTTCTTGGCACTGGCTCAGCTGCTGACCAGCAAAAACCTGCCAGACGCTGTAGATGGACAGCTGCCCATGGGGCCTCACAGCAGGGCCAGGCGATGGCTACACTGGCCCAGTGATGGCAACTTAAAACCATAGTGCCTTCTGTCCTGCCCCATCTGGTGGGCTGGGCAGGGCACCACGGGTCCTCCCAGACACCAGGCTCACCACCGACACAACACAGATAAAAGGAGTGTGGTGGGTGCTTCCCTGGCCAGGCTTCACACCAGTTGTGACTTCCTGTGCACAACTGTACCCCCAAGGGCAGGTGATCCAGCAGCTGCTCAGTGCAAAGCACCGGGGAGGGAGCAGGGTTTGGGCACTGGCCCCTCCCAGAGGGCCCTTCCCGGCCTGATGCCCACCCCCATGCCTAAAACACCTCCTGAGGCTGTCCCTGGATGGGTTTCTATAGAACATGCTATCCCAGGCCTAGGCCCGGAAGTACACGTGGTGCTGAGGCACCCACAGGCCTCCCTGGTACAGCTTCAAAGAATAAAGTGCAACCCGCCCCCAGGGGGCTCCAGCCTGAGGTGCCCTCCTGCTTCACCATCTGGAGCAGAAAACAGTGGGGAGTGCCTGGGGTACCCCCAGCCCTGCTTCCTAGGCCTTCCTCCTCCTCTCCTCCTCCTCCTGTACTCCAAGAAGCTTCTGAAAACCAGGCAGGCTAGGCCTCCGGCCAGGTGCTGACCGAGAGGTTACTGGATATGCCTCGAAGAGGAGATGGGCAATGTAGGCCGGACACCACCGAGCCCCTCCTCCACACCCTTGAGGGCCACCTGAAGGGCACAGGAGCCTTCAGACCCATCC